GACTAAATCCAATTAATTATAAGAAGCATAGGGCCGAAAATAAAATTTACCCAAAAACTATGTCTAAACCTAATATCTCATGTTATTAAACTAATGGGAAATTCGATCACAACTTTAATTATTAATATAGATAAAGATAATAATTGAAAATATTTTTAAATTAATATTTAAAAAACCTTATTTAAATATAACTCCATCCAAATTGAACAAAACTAAATTAAGCTTTTCTATGTTCATACTGATTTTGGGAAGAAAAAAATAGGTAATCCCAAGCTTCAACCCTATCTTTTTTTTACGGGTAGTTACTTTGTACGACAACCTTAATATACGTTTAAATAAAGATTCTATCGGAAATGTTAATATTTTTTTAACATTTTCGATAGATCGCTATTTAAAACATTATTTTTTTTATCGGAGATGTTAATTTCACTACCTAATTTCCGGTAGAAAAAATAACATTTTAGGTAGTGCCTAATATTAACATTTCCGGTAGAAAAAAATAATGTTTTAGGTTACGTCTTACCGGAAATGTTAAACATTTTAGATAACGCCCAATATGAACATTTCCGGTGGAAAAAATAATGTTTTAGGTAACGTTTTATTAAAAATGTTAAAAAATATTAACAGTTCTAATAACGAATTTCCTTAACCGTATTTAAAGATGATGTACCTTAGACATCCTTTTTGACTAACTAAATGTGAATCAAAGAGAAATATTTGTATCTTTTGATACATTCATCATGGCCAGCCGAAAGTAAATATGTCATGATTCATATTAAAAATGAAATATTAATTAATTAAGAAATCAAATTTCAATAATTATAAAAATAAATAAATAAATTTTGAACCCATCAAACGACTTAAATTATTAAAGAAAATGTTATTCTCTCTTAAGACCGTGATTTCAAATAACTATGTTGCATGATGTACGTAAATCATCAATAATTAATTTTTTTGAATAAATATTATTTTAATATTCATATTATTTGTGACGTTTGAATATATTTGTTTTCTACCATTGATGAGAAGCACTAGATAAAGTAGACATGTAACATCAAGAGTTAATAAATAGTATACATTAAAGTACATGCATAATAATTAGGGAACTAATAATGATTTCAAGCAATAATCACCTTGAATGTGCTTTTTGTTATGATTTTAAAAAATTATCGGATAAGGTTAATTAGGGTTTGTTTGATAATTTGATATTTTATTGATAATATTGTCACCTAAAAATTAATATTTTTAATAATTTTGATATCATAATTCATAAGTGTATTTGATAATCTAAAATTAGGATTATACGTTAGATTTTTTTTTTAAAAAAAAAGTATGGACAATATTAAATAGATAAAAGACATTATCACCTAATGAAGAACATTTTCTATTTTATTTTTGTTTCTTTTAGTTATGATATTCCTTTAAATTTCACATTTATGGAATAATCTGATTGTATTTAGTATTTAATTTAAGGTTAAACTACACGTTTAGTGTCTAAATTATCAATTTTGATTTGTTTTAGTACTTAAACTTCATTTTTTAAAATCATACATAGCGTTAAGTTTTTGTTTCATTTTACAACCTTGACATAAAAACTTAACGAAAGGGTTGACGTGATAATTTTTAATTTTAAAATTTTATATTATTATTTAATCTTACCCAGAAATCAATGAAAAGCTCCGTTGGTCATCACATCTATAGTCGTTGGTAGTCGCATTTGTTGGCCAATAAAGTCAAAACTTTTTAGCTTGCACATTTTCGACTCGCTGAACGCGATTCCCACCTTCGTTTTCACGAGGAAATGCCTCAATCTCCCAAAATCGACCATGAACACTTCGATTTCTTCATCCTCCAATCTCCATGGTCTATTATCTGATGGGCCTGAAACTGTATTATGTTAGTTAACTCGCAATTCTCTCATAACCTACCGTTTGAATTTGTCATCCTTTGATGGATTCTTTTTGTTTTTTTTTCTTTCCTTTATTTTTTTATTTTTTGGGTTTTTGTTTCTTTTGTTCTTCAACTCTTCATTATCGTCATTCTCGAGCTATTGTCGACCTTTACGAATGCAAAATATCAAGAAGTCTTCATTTTCTCTTCTCTATTCTGGTTGTTGGCTTCCTCTCTTCTTCATTACGCTTGTGTGCGTTTGGTTATGGTTTTAGTGATATTAGGGTTGTGTTGATTAATATAAATAATAATTTAAAATTAAAAATAATTAAAAAATGCCACTTCAACTTGTTCAACAAGTTTTTAACAGGGAGGAACCAAATTGAAATAAAAATTAAAAGTTAGATATGAGTTTTTTTAAAATGAAAGTTTAAGTACTAGAACAGATCAATACTAATAGTTTATATACTAAACGCGTTGTTTATCCTTAATTTTTAGTAAAATATGGTATATATTTATAACTTAGTTTTAAAATACTTTTTAACATTTGATTTTTTTAATTTATCAAAAAATAAAAAAAATATGAGTTGATTCTAATTACAATTATTAAACATATAGTATTATTTATGATTGTGCATTTAAACTTCTTAAAAATATATAAATTAAGTTTGGGCATAACCACTATTTTCTCTTTAATTGTACTTCATTTTTTTCTTTTGCTGGCCCAACACAAAGCTGTTACGGCCCTTCCACTCCATCATATTATTTTCACCCAATTTTTTTTGAATTAATTAATGATATCCGATCTATTCACCAACTAATTTAAATCGGGTATTATAGAGTCGAGGGCGACCGTCCCAACTAAATTTTCTCCATCCGTAAACGCTTGGATTTAAACTTCTGACATTGCTTAAGCAATCTAGTATGTAATATACACTTTATGTGTAATATTGAGTTAAATTAGTGTTACGTTTAAAATATAAAAGTCGGTTTAAATTTTCTACTTTTAGAAACGTATTACATCAACAAATCCCGAAACGGCAGCGCCGGCGTGATGGTGATCCGCTCGATGAACAAAACCCTCCGCCCCTTCTGGTCTCCACGTTAATATGGAGATAGACAATTCCCACTTCCCCCCCCCCCGGCCTCTTTTCGAGACATGGTTTCGGGCAATCATAATGATCCACCCCCTGAAGAGCTCCTCTCCCTGGATGATGACGATGACATCGAACTATTGGATACCGATATTCAGGTTGGTGAAACTGCTGTCATCCCGTTTATCAATTTCTCGGATCGCGTTTATAACTTTGGTGGTCAAGTTCCTTGGGCGCCGTATAGGATATAATCCCCTTCAAAATCGGATCTTATCCCTATGGAAACCTGTTCACCCCATAAAGCTGATTGATATAGAGAACGATTACTTTCTGGTGAAGTTTGCAGCCCGTAGTGACTTCCTTCATGCCCTAGCTGATGGCCCCTGGGTGATTTTCGGCCATGACCTCACGGTTGAGCCGTGGTCTGATGACTTTGTCCCTTCCCAATCCCATCCCAGCCGTATAATGGCATGGGTGGGGCTGCCCGGTCTTCCGATAACATGGTATAAGCGAAGCATGATTCAAGCGATTGGTGAACGCATTGGATCAGTCTTGAAGATTGATTATCAGACGGACAGTGGCCGAAGGGGGCGATTCGCCCGTATGGCCATTAACATTAACCTGAAGAAGCCTCTTGTCTCGAAAATCGAAATTTGTGTGCGTACACAAATTAATATTTAAAACATTGACTCAATCAAATAATGTAAATAAAGATTTGATCCACAAATTATATCTCAAATAGTATTGGGACCAAATTTTATCATATTCGAGCGAACATGTTAATGTCCAGCTTAGACGGTAATAAATTTTTTAACGAAAAATGATTAATTTAGAACATATAAATAGTCAGGTGATTTTTTATAACTTTTAATAGTTAAAGACTCAACAAAGCAACACTTGATAACCAGAAAATCATTTTGTAACTTTTAATAATCCAATACTTAATAAAACAAGTAGATAATACCTTATAGTCAATGAATCATTTATATACTTTGCCTTTTAAAATGGAAATAGTAATTTAAGGATGTATTATGTAATTGACTCTAAAAATAAGATAAACTATGCATTTAGTACCTAAACTATCAATTTTGGTTCGTTTTAGTACATAAACTTTCAATTTTTCAAATCCATAATTAACGTTTCATTTCATTTTAGTATCCAGCTGTTAAAAACTTAACGCGTTTAGTACCTTAACTATCTGTTTTGGTCGATTTTAGTACTGAAACTATTTTTTTCCAAAGCATAACGTTAAGTTTTTGACGAGGTACTAAAATGAATAAAAAACTAAATGTTAGGTATGATTTTGAAAGAAAAAAATTGAAAGTTTAGGTACTGAAACGAATCAAAACTAATAGTTTAATTACTAAACATGTAATTTATCTAAAAATAATATCACATTTAGGGAGGGGCATGGGTCGGATTTTCATTCCACCCGACCCGACTCGAAAATTATAAATTATCCACTCGAATCGAAAAATATACACCTTCCACCCGACTCTTTTTTTTAGATAAAATATGAATCTTACCTGACCCGACCCGACCCGAAATAATATATTTATTAAAAATAAAAAAATGGTTGTCCTTTGTTCCCATATGTAATGGGGGTAAAGGGGAGATAAGATAGTAGGCTGCCCCCAACACCAGATTAAGAGCAGCTTCCGTAGAAGACCTCCGAATTATGAAAAGCCCTCCGTGGGACTCGATCCCACGACCTCAAGATTAAGAACCTCAATGTTATTTTTATTCAATAAAAATATAGATTTAATTGAAATAAAATTATAAATAGAGGGGCATTATTATAATTATCCCTAAATATATAAGATAAAATTATAATTTTTTGGGATGAATATTTTTCACATTAAACCTGAACTCGATCCGACCCGAATCGAACATAACTTTAAATTATTTTTACCCAAACTAGAATACTGTTTAAAAATATCAGATCCCATCAGATTAAAGCCCGTTGGGTTTGGGTCTGATGCCCATCCCTTAATTCACATTCATTAATAACGTATAAAGGTCGAAACGGCAATTCATCGTCTCTTCCACCAAACTCCATTATCCCTGTCAGACGAAAGACCCGTGCCGGGAACTACAACGATCAGTTAAAGGTATGGCTTTTAATCTGATTCAAATGCCTTATTCACAAGTATACGATCTGGGCATGTTAGTTCTGCTACCTGTTCTTCATTTTAGCTTCGTTTGAATCACTTGGTGGGTCAAAAAAAGTGTAGTTTAAACCTATAAATACTGCAACTTAATTCATTACAAACCTTTGTTTTTGACAATTGTGGGTTGTGATTTATTTAATTATATCATCTTTGCATGTTTTGAACAGATCTCTTTGAATGATGTTTGGGTTCGGATTCGAATATTTACATGCCATTGAAGGTTTGATCACTTTTGTATACTTTGAAATAGATGCTAATTGAAACAATCATTTCTAGATGCAAATGAGAAAGGCAAATAGTTTGTTTAATTTTCAAAGATCAAACTCACACTCAAAAAGAGATGTTCGATTTTCGTTTAATTTTCTAATCCATTCTCTAATTCGAACCTGCTGCTGCTGAGATGGGATCCATCCATTTGAAAATTTCTTTCATTTTGCCCCTACAACTTATTCAGGTGTGTAGGTATTTGCTTGGAAAATAATGATTGTAACGATGGTGGTGAGGCGACTCGGTAAGATATCGCGGCTGATGGGAAACAGAGCATCTACATTACTTACTAGTAATGGAAATTATAGTCCCATAAATAGGCAGAGCACGTCTTCGACCTATCGTTACAGCTCCGATTGCAATCCCACAAATAAGGTCAATTGAAACTTTTGTTTTGTTTGTTGTTTCTACTTTGGTTTTGTCTTTTGTTTGTTACTACTTATTCTACATATTCTGCAATATAAACTACACTCCAGGTCTTGAGAAATCTTCCGCCGTATGTAAAGATAGTGGAGGTTGGGCCGAGGGATGGATTGCAAAATGAGAAGGAGATTGTACTGACCACCGTAAAGGTTCAGTTAATAAAAATGCTGGTTTCTTCGGGATTGAGTGTCGTCGAGGCCACGAGTTTTGTATCACCAAAATGGGTTCCACAGGTCAGTGTGCCTTTGTGCAAGGCAATCAACGTTTGTGCAATTAACGGTTTGATTTGGTTGTAGAATTGCTTATATCCTCTTGGTTAACGGTTCTTCAATTTGCTCTGTTTTTCGTTCAATATATGATGTTAGTAATCATCTATAGCTCATACTAATTCATAATTCAACTACAGCTGGCAGATGCAAAGGATGTAATGGATGCGATTCGGAATATTCAAGGAGCCCGATTTCCAGTGTTGACTCCCAACCTTAAAGTAAGCTATCTATAATGGAGAATAACATTTCTGTTTAAAAAAATGTACAAATATGTTGATAACATAAAACACTTTCTTTAGGGTTTTGAAGATGCTGTTTCGGCTGGAGCCAAGGAAGTGGCCATCTTCGCCTCAGCTTCCGAGTCTTTTTCCAAGTCGAACATAAATTGCAGCATCGAAGATAGTCTTTCCCGTTTTAGAGATGTCACTTCTGCTGCCAAAGAGCTCTCAGTTCCAGTTCAAGGGTATGTTTTATGAACAACGAAGGAGTGACTAACCATACCATTGTGATTTAGTAATATGAATGCCTTAGCACTTTCTGATCTTCTCAGATACATATCATGTGTCGTTGGTTGCCCGGTTGAAGGAATGGTGCCTCCATCAAAAGTAGCGTACGTAGCTAAACAGCTCTTTGATATGGGTTGCTCCGAAATTTCCCTTGGCGATACAATTGGTGTCGGCACGCCTGGTAAGTTTTGAGTTACTTTCTGCTAGTAAGTCTACTGTTCTTACATACACCATTTATAGCCGGAGATTAGTTGGAGACGCATATCGATATGGATATATTGGTTCTGGTCGTAGGACAAGTTTGGATAGTAAATGTAGAGATGCTTTTTATTTCTATATTATCCGAATTGACGTGTGAGATCGCTCTTCTCATTCGGAAGACTTTTGGAACTTTACGATTGTGCCGAATGGCTCTTTAACTCGATCTTATTTTATCCTCCCTAAAATCGTAAACTCTTAAACGTTTTTTGCATCTATGTGCAATTATTTAATAGCTGTTCAGTTTTGACTTAGATGTGGCCTCTCTTCTTTTGTTTTGTCTTTGGTGCAGGTACTGTCATTCCAATGCTCGAAAATGTTATGAATGTTGTCCCGCTCGACAAGCTCGCGGTCCATTTTCATGACACTTACGGGCAAGCTCTTTCTAATATTTTGGCATCGCTCCAAGTAAGCACTCCTTGTTTTCCTTCTTTTCGGATTAAGCGATGGACATGAAGGATTTGTTGGTTTTAAGTAGACTGAACCTACAATGCATCGGTGTAACGTATATCCTTGTGTTATTTAACGGTGAACCTTATGTCTCTTTTAGCATGCAGCTCTACCCGATGCATCAAATCGATTTTTTCGTTCGTAAATAGATGAAACTGTTCTGTTATTGATTGTTCCGTGCAACCCAGATTCGGCATTTGTTTCTGGTTTTAGATATGAGCAAAACATTCTAATTCTAGCAGGTGCATCTCGATAGCTTCTCTTTTGCTTCATTCATTTTCCCGTTTTCCCTCGGCTGAAAATGATCGAAAGTTGCATGTCTGTCCTAGTTGTACCAGTTCAACATCATTGAACGATAACACATTTTTTATCGCTCCATCTCGTAACCCGAAACGAAAAATCTCCGGAGATGTTCATGAGCATTTCGAGTTTTGCTTAGTTATTCTTATTCTCTTTGCAGATGGGGATCAGCACCGTGGATTCATCAGTTTCTGGCCTAGGAGGTTGTCCGTATGCTAAGGGTGCATCGGGAAATGTTGCCACCGAGGATGTTGTCTACATGCTCAACGGAATCGGAATACAAACAAACGTCGATATCGAAAAGCTCATGTTGGCCGGGGAGTTTATATGCAAGCATTTGAAGCAGCCACCGAGTTCGAAGACGGCAGTTGCATGGAGTAGTAAGAAGGCTAACTCCAAGCTTTAAGGTAGATTGTATTTACTCCCCTGTTTTCATTGTGTAGATATTTACAATATAATGCAAAGCATATATATAAGAGATTTCGATATCTTAAGCAAAGTCTCGGGTTCGAATCTCGAGATAAAAGCAACATTTGAAAAAACTTTGTTTCTGCTTTAAGATTCGTCCTAATTCAACTCTGGATATAATCGAGATTCATGTAACTATCGAGATCGAGTGGTTTCGGACAAAAAAGCTTTTTAGTTTAATGTTTTACAATAAAAGAATCAAGGGTAAATTATGCATTTACTACTTAAATTATCATTTTTGTCCGTTTTAGTAGCTACTCTTTCAATTTTTTCAAACTTAATGTTAAATTTTGAACATGGTACTAAAATTAAAAAAAAAAACTAAAATTTTTAATGACATATATTAAAATAAAATAAAAACTAAACTTTAGGTATTATTTTGAAAAAATTAAAAATTTAAATACTAAAATGTATAGGGTAGATACTAAAGGTGTAATTTGCATAAGAATCAGAGCACGTGATAAATGATAATTTTGTTAAACAAAAGTCAAATCGTACGATTAATTAATACGTAGAACGTTTTTCATATGATTATTACACGTGTCAATTTTTATTTATGTCGACATATTGTATATAATTGTTTACATTATCGTACAAATCAAGTCATGTCTGTTGAATCTAGTAGTTTAGGGGCTAATTTAAAATAGGGATCATAATACGGGGACATACTGTGCAATTAGCTCAAATTGTGTACATTGACAGAATTGAAAATTGCAAGAATGACAGTGATGTTACTTTATCCGCATGTGCCTTTTTTTTCGATCTTATCTTTTAATTTCGCAAGCCACGAGTGAATTCACCACGTGTCACGTTCGACCAACGGGAGGTCACCAGCTGTTCCGTCACAGTCGTGTCGCAATTCATTCCACCCTTTTGAATCCTAAATTCCTAACAACAAAAAATTCACCACTTTCCTCCTTGAAAAACCAATAAATGTCACTTTCACAACTTATTTATTTATTTATTTATTATTCCACCTATCATATGATTTGGAGTACATGTCACTAGAGATAGATATAGATCGGGTTGGGTCAGATTTTCGATCAATCCAATCCGATCAAAAAATTATACATTATATATATGATCCGAATCTGACCTTTAAATTATACACCATATACCTGACCCGAATCATATTTGAAATTTATACACTCTTCACCCGACCTGAAACCGACCCATTCTTTTGAGATAAAACCCTAACTCGACCTACTCAAAATAATATATTTATAAAAATATTGTTTTTATTTAATAAAAATTGGAATTTAATTAAAAATAATTTATAGTTGAATCTTTATTGCAATTATCTATCTATCTATATATATATATGGTAAAATTATAATTTTTTTCAGGTCGGATCGGATAATTTTCATTATACACACAACCCCGACCCAACCCGAATGTAATCTTTAAGAAAACTCTGATCCAACCTAAACTCGATTTTTTAAAAAAAAATCTGATTCAATAGAATTGATATAATCGAAACAAATTCTGTCCAAATCAAATCTCGTGCATATCCCTAAACATCACGGGTTAACTTGATTGATAAAATTAGTTTTAAAGTAAAATAAATTTAAATACTAAAATGTATCAAAATTGATAGTTAATATTTTTTTTATTTATTTTCTATCACTGCATATAAATAATAACCATATATGTCATTAAGAATAATTATATGTAACATATAACTTTCGTGTTATTAAAATAATAATATTAATTAATCACGAACCAAATTATTTCAGTGATTAAAATATGATTATTATTTCTAGAGGTCTCAAATTTGAAAATCAGAGACCGTAAATGTGTTTAAGTTTTTATTGTTAAATGATTGAAAATCTTTAAAACATATACTACTTATAATCCTTAGATAAATAAAAATAATAATGATTAAACTAATACTTAATTAATAAAATAATCAATAAATAATAATAAATCCAACTTAAAGCTATATGGTATAACAACATACCATATTTCCATTGGTATATAGTATTATATTTATTATTGTTAATATATTAAATAATTAAAATTTGATTATGTTTATTAACGATTATAAATATAACGTATGTAAGTCGTAATAAATAATAAAATTAAAATTAATCCTGGAGTTAACTGCATCATACATCCCCAATATATGACACTCATTTCAAATTGGTCACTAAACTTTTAAACATTTTAATTTCATCATTAAACTATGATTATCATTTTAAATTAGTCCTCAAACTTTTAAACATTTCATTTTCATCCTCAAACTATGATCTTCATTCTAAATTGGTCCCCAATCTTTTTGAATATTTCAATTTTATCCTAAATTATACGTATATACTAATCGCATCTTTTGTTAATAAAATCACCAGGCCAAGTTATATTATTACATGCTTGAAAAAAATTAGTTAAAATATTGTTGATATGGATTACATATTTGGATGGATTTGGGGATGAAATTAGAATATCTAAAAGTTTAGGGACTAATTTAGAATGATTGTCATAGTATAAGGATGATTAAAATATTTAAAAATTTAGGGACCAATTGAAAATAGGGGCCATTTTGAAAACACGTGATGCAATTAACTCTAAATCTTGATAGAATTACACATATAATAAGACTTAGATTAAGAAGAAATCTGAATATAATTTACCTACAAGGTACATACTGAACCCTAAATATTAACATTAACTTACCATTTTTTTATCTAAATCATTTTTGCCTATAAAATGAAAGATATTGAGTGTTTGAATATAAAAACTTATGCGTTCTTTAATATATTAAATAAGAATAATAATCAAATTTAATTAATCATTTTTTAAAATAATAATAATAATAATCAAATTTAATTTAATTAAGGATAAAGTACACAAATGGTCCTCTGATTATAGGATATTGCTTTATTAAGTCTCTCGACTATTAAAAGTTACAAAATGATTTCCGACTATAGGAAGTTACTTTGTTGAGTCCTTCAACTATTAAAAGTTACAAAATGGCCACTCTACTATTAGTTATGTTCTAAACTCATTTTTTTCGTTAAAATTTTGACAACAATCCGAGTTGTACGTTAACTTGTTGACTGAGATATGATAAAATATAATCTCATAATCTCAAATGACTATCACATCTCAGTCAACAAGTTAGCATACAACTTAGATTATCGTCAAAATATTAGCGGAAAAGATAAGTTTAGAACATAATAAATAGTCGAGTGGTCATTTTGTAACTTTTAATAGTTGAGGGACTCAACAAAGTTACTCTTTATTATCGAAACTTTTAATAGTCAATAGACTCAAAAAATATTATCCTATATTCGAGGGACCATTTGTGTACTTTACCCTTTAATTAATATCTTGTTAATTAATTAGAATCCAATCTAATAAATGAACCCCTACTCTATCAAATGATGTTTCAATTTTATCACTAAATTTCCTTTCTACGAAGAGACGTATTCCTTTATTCAATTTGTGACCGATTAGGTCAAACAATACCCAAAGCCCAAAAATATAAATAAATAAATAAAATAAAATAATCCCACTCAAAGGAAAATCAGAGAAATCCCCTCAATTCATATCCAAAATCCCAAATTGAGGGTAATTTTTCTGATTTATTTCCATTTTCTTTCATGTAATAAAGTAAAATAAAAATTTGTGAGTTTTTGAGGAATTTCAATGGATACGGGTCGAAAAATGGATTGACCCATATGGGTGTTATCAACAACATCCAGAGAAGATTTATATAGATTTTGATGTGATCTGTTGAAAGAGGCTGACAGCTATTGGCTACAAGCAAATTTTCCTTTTCTTCTCCATCAAATTTCTCATTTTTATTTGTTTTTTCTTGCTGCAGTTTTTTGTTTTCAGTTCTGGTTTTCGGGTAAGCTTTTGGGTGTTTTTTTTCTTTCTCGTTTTTAGTTCATCTCTTTATTGGGGTTACAGGTGTTTTTGATTTTCTGTTTGTTTGTTTTTTTTTAAATTCGTTGATCATCAGAAAATCGAAGGGATTTTCCGAGAAAGTTATTTTATTTCTCGTCTATTGCCAGAATCTGCGTAACACACAAACAACCCAGATTTTGTTTGCGTTCCGATCATCCACTTTCTTCGTCGGATTACTGAAAAGCTTTGGTTTCGAGGGCTTGATTTTGATCCAACATGGAGAAGAATTGAATTCAATTGGAATCCGATTCATTTGATCTGAATTGGATTGACCTTTTTTTCCTTTTCGATTTCGTCGAAAAAGAAAGAAGAAAGGGGTGGGGGGAATGGCGATGAAAGGTTGGCCATTAGAGCAATGGAGGGGTTATTTTCGTCAAGCAAACTCAGATATATTCGATATAATCGATCATGCTATAACGGTAGCCGCTTTAGATTGTCCTAAAGAGTTTAGATTATGTAGAGATCGAATTGCTGAGAAGCTTTTCACTTGCAAATTCACTCGGTGTTCGGGTTGCGATCGGGTCGAGTTGGTTGTACCCGAATTCGAGGACGTAGACGACAACACTCGAGCCGGTACGAGCTTCAGAAGGCAAGCTGATGAAGAATTTGAGGCAGGTGGTAGCAAAGAGAGCAAAGCTAATAGTAGCAGAGATGACCCTTTGATGAACCAAATTGCTAGTAATTATAGCTATGGAGAAGCTGAAGCTTTGACTGATGAAATCGAACAAGAGTCGATGATCGTCGGTGAAGTGTTTAGGATCAAAGAGATTCTTCACAATTGTCTAGATGAGGTTTGTGTGTTTTGAACATATAGTTCTTTAGAGTATCTGTGTAAATGATAATTTTTTATTGATGATTTCTTGTGTTATTGTTTAATGCAGTCGGATTCCGTATTGTTCGAGTCGTTGAGGAAGCTTCAATTAATGGATTTGACAGTGGATATTCTTGAGGTCCTTTGATCTAAACCTTTTCCCTGGTTTAAAGTTGGTTTTTTGCCATTGTAATTCTTGGACTAAAACATGTACTTTGTAACTTGTTTCAATTTTCAGGCAACTGGGATCGGAAAAGCCGTTAATCGGGTTAGAAAGCATTCATCGAAGCAGATTCGTAATCTTGCTCTAACTCTCATCGAGTAAGAGTTTGTTTCCTTTGCTGCAATGAAGTTGAATGCTTGATTATATTATGTGATAAACATGATAAGTAACACCTGTATTGAATGTGATCGGCTCGTAATTGACGATCATAGACTTGTTGTTAAAGTGTTAAACTGTTAGCTCCGAGTAGATGGCGAACTGACTTTTGCTCACTCCGTCTTTTCCATTAGTATTAACCGATGTTTATGCTCGCACATTTGTTTAGTGTGTTCGGCTTCATATTAGTTTTTACAGTGTGTTAAACTGTTTGCTCACTCCGTCATTTCCGTTAGTATTAATTGTTGTTGCGGGGAACTTTACTGGTTGAACAACCTACCTTAGTTTCTTACTTTTTCGATCTGTGGCTTATCTTCGCCTACGGATATTGAATATCGTTTTTCGATCTGTGGATGCAAGTTCTTCACCCAGTTTTGTGGTTTGCAGTGGATGGAAGGAATTGGTGGACGAGTGGGTTACTGCTACAAAGGCTGTTGCTGGTAAGAAATTGTTGACCGGTATCTTGCAATTCACGGAAACCGACATTGCTTCATTTCGGTTTTTCATTTATACGTGAATTTGTTAATGAAGGTGTTACTCCGGAATCTTTGAATCCGCCCGTTGGTGATGAGGACGAAGTAGAAGAGGAGGAAGAAGGGCTTCCGTCTCCTCCCTTAGATGTAGGAGCTCTCTTCGCTACTCAACCTACATCAATGGAGCTCTCGCAGGTCTTACTTTTTAAATCTTTACGTATTTGTTCGTTTTAACATTCATTGTCGAAGAACTTATTGCCGATATGCTCGTCGACTGATTGAAATTACTTTCTCTCCTTTGTCACCGGTGATGTGTTACGTGAAGTTCTTCGATGGCATGGATGATGACGGAAGTGAGTTGAATTTTTTCTCTTTAATGCTTCTCTTCGATAGCTTTCGAGCCTTTTGGTTCTCTATTTGAATTCCGCGTATAAATTCTCGATTATGATCAGGGTATGTTGTTTCAGATCCTGGTAGCAGTGGGGATTTCATCAAGAACCGGAGTAACGGAAGAAAACCATCGGACGAGAACCGGAATTTTTTGAAACAAAAACCGCAGACATCGAGTGAAGCTAATCTGCTCACCATGGATGATCCGAGGCAACAAATGAAGAGACAAGAACCCGTTGCAAAGCCTAATAACAATCCGTCGAGCACAAATGTCGTGTACGGGAGACCTCCAAAACATAATATCGAGCAAAAGGCCTACAACGAATCTAAGTCGGCGCAGAAACCGGATAAGATGTTTGTCCCCAAGAAGCCCCTCCACGATCAACAAGATGTAAGTGAAACGTTCACTTTGTACGTTGATCATGCACCTTCACTCTTGTTTTTCTCATCACTGCTCTTCTTCGATCAGAAACTCAAGACTTTGGATGAAGAACGAAAGCTCGAGGCAACAAAAAGGAAGCTACAAGAGCGATATAAACAAGTCGAGAATGGTTTGTCTCTTCCCCTCTAAATTCCGTATGAATCCTCAATTATTCGACTCAAAAACGGTAGAGAACTTTAACATTTTACGCGTTAACAGCCAAGAGGAAACGGACGATACAACTGATGGAGCTTCGTGACATCCCAAAGCAAGGGTCCGGCCACAAAAATCCGTATTTTAAACATGGTAGCCATAACCGACAATGGTCGAACGGAAGGAGGTAGCCTCCCCCTGTCTCTCTCTCTCCCGTGTTTCGAAAAGCGGTGTCCATAGCCTTCCTAGTTTCTTCCATTGTTGCGAATCGGGTGTAAGAATACCCCAATAAACACAATTGGGAACCACGGAGACCTAAATCCCACCATTTCAGCAATCAAATAACGAGGATTCTTTTCTGTGATTGATGTTGATGATCAAGATAACAAAAGACATTCCGAAGAAACGGAAACGCGCTTCCTTTCGATCGATTGCTGTAGAGGTATAGGGACCTTTTTTTACCACCTTTCTACTGCAATGCTTGGATAGGAACTACAGAAAATGATGGGTAAAAATCACTCATTTGAGGACTGGTAAGTTCTTCAATCTGTGTATGGAACAAGAACCCTAATTTTTTACCCATCTTTTTTTTATCGACTTATCACTCATAACCCTACTTGAATTCACATGTAATAAGTGTTTTTTTCTTAATGAAATGAAATGATGATGCTAATATCAAGTTTTTGTTTACATTATATCTCGGATTTAGATCCAATAATTCTTTTTCGAACATGAATGTTTTCGATATTCATTCGAATATGAAGACCGATGGGATGATACTCGACGGATTACTTTTCTGTCGAGTATCAAAGTTCGATTCTCATCAATAATCTTGATATTTATACAATAATAAGAATCTAATGTATGCTTCTTTTAGCGATTAGGTACTAAAATTGATTCTTTAGGTACTAAATACATTAAGTTTTTAGCGATTGGGTATTAAAATAAAATAAAAACTAAAAGTTAGTTATGATTTTTTAAAAAAAAAAAAGAAGTTTAAGTATTAAAAAAATCAAAACTAATAGTTTATATACTAAATATGTAGTTTACCCATAAATAAACTATTAAATTATTAACTATATGAAATATGAGGTTATGTAACATCTAAAATCGTCAATAGGGACTTCACAACTCCAAATTTATAAATTTTATATTTTTATACCCATTTTGATGATTTTAAATGCTTCAAAACTCTCATATTTGATCAGATTAACAAATTAGTCCTTAGATTAGTGTTTGATGATTGTTTGGTAATACGATTATTTGATTTTATTTTGATTACGTTCCAATCAATCAATGTGACTTCTTCGACCCAGTTTTTGATTAAATCGGGTTAGAAATATTACTTTGAATCCCATAACTTTTGAAAAATAGAATTAGAATTAAACTAATGACAGAAGCTCAAAAACTCATTTAATATTTAAGAGTATTTAAACAAAACAATTATTAGTATGTGAGAAGATCTAAACTATGGATAATTTAGCTTGAAGATATAGGAACAAATTTAATTATACCTAAATAAAATATTAATTAAACTGGAATTTTATATTATCAATTTTAATATATTTATTTATTTTATTCTATATGTGACATAAATTACATCTCGTGATAATTAAATATATTATAATGTGAATATTAAAAACTTATAAATTTATTTTATGTTCAAATATTTTTAACAATTTTGCCACTCAATTTGGCGGGTGACAATCTTACCGTTGACAAGATGACGTAATAAGTGACGTCATACAAGCGTACCCACTCCCTGACTTGTAACCATCAGTCGAGGTAGTGGCGTTTGGGTCCCACGCGTTCGGACAAAAGATAATAATAGAAAGAGGATAATGCATTGTCGTGTCCACGTACGTAACACGTGTCTTACGTTTTTCCTCGCACATTTTTCATTCTTTCAATCTTGTTTTTGTTTTCTTTTGATTACTTGTTTCTTTGCCAAATTTAAAACCATGTTCTTTTGTACCAACAACTCTCTTTTAATTGTTAGGGTAAACTATGTATTTAGTAACTAAACGATCAATTTTAGTTTGTTTTATAATTTAAGTTTTCATTTTTTTCAAAACTACACCTGACGTTTAGTTTTTATTTCATTTTAGTAAACCGTCGATAAAAACTTAAAGCATTTAGTACATAAGCTATCAGTCTTGGTTCGTTTTAGTACTGGAACTTTCGATTATTTCAAAACTTAACGTTAAATTTTGGACGAGTACTAAAATGAAAAAACTATGTTTTTAACGACGTGGTACTAAAATGAAACAAAAACTAAACTTTAGGTGTGGTTTTGAAAAACTTAAAAGTTTAGGTATTAACGGATCAAAATAAATATTTTAGATACTAAACGTGTAATTTACCTAATTATTATTTAGGTAAAGTATATAAATAATCCCTCGACTATAGGAGGTTGTTTTGTTGAGTTATATGATTGTTTGAAGTTAAACAAAAATAGGTATTTGACTATAAGTTATTATTTTGTTGAGTATCTCGACTTTTTAAAGTTATAAAATGGTTACATAATTATTCTTACGATCCAAACTCGTTCTTGTTTTTCTTTAAAAAATTGATAGTCATCTAAACTGGACGTTAACACAACGAATGAGATATGATGATCGTTTAAGATTTTATGATTATTTTTTATTATATTTCAATCAACATATTAACATTCAACTCTAACTGTCTTTAATTTTTTAACGAGAAATTTAGTAGTAATACGAGTCACGTTATTTTTTTCAACAAAAAAAAAACATGGAAATATCAACAAAAACCAAAATGGTTTGCATATGAAACAATCCGATTTGGTAAAATTTCGAGCTCGGAAAGAGGCATTCCCAACCCGTCCAATATGGTCAAATTCAGTCCACTATTCTTGATGTATTTCCAATTTAGTCCACTTATTTGGGCTCGGAAAAAGGCTTACCCATGAAGTCTCAATTATCATATGTGGGCTTCAGATACACGACGAGCTAATATATAATTAAATTAATTATTTTTAATAAAATTCTATTATAATATATTTTTACAAACCCGTCGATGATCGGTTCGACCGAAATAAAAAATTGATTTCAAATTAATCTATATAATGAGTAATTGTTAAATTTTACGAAAATATTAATTTATTTATTTAGCTATAAATAAATATATTATGAAAATTTCAAGACTAAGTTCAATAAATATATTTTTACTTTAATATACATTATATTCTCGAGATGCTTATTTTCAGTTTTAATAATTATATTTTATTTCTTTATTTTATTAAGAATTTTATTACATATATCGAGAAATTTTGGAAAAATATTTTTATTTTCTAATTGTTCCTAACATTTAGGGTTTAAGGAATTAAAATTCGAGTATACTCGATAGGGTATGTTTATTAAATTATAATTGGGTTGGGGCGGCAACAATGAAGGCTATGGTTTTAGACCCAACCATGTGCCCTGCGAGCCACGGGGTACCATGTTTTTTAATATATTATATTATTTTATAGATACTTTTAATTTAGGGTAAAGTACACGATGGAGTGTTGCTTTGTTGAGTCCCTCGACTATCATAAGTTATAAAAATTGTCACTCGACTGTTCATTATGTTACAAACTCGTCATTTTCTGTTAAAAATTTGACGGTATTTTGAGTTGAACGTTAACTTGCTTATTGAGACATGATAAAATATGGTCTCAGAATCTCAAACGACTATCACATCTCAGTTATCATATTAACGTCCAGCTTGGACAACCGCCAATTTTTAACCCAAAAAAAAAAAGAGTTTGAAACATAACAAATAGTCGATTGACCATTTTATAGTTTTTAATATTAAATAGACTTAATAAAATTATATCTTATAGTCAGAGCACTATTTATGTATTTTACCGTTTAATTTAATTAATCTAAGTGGTTTTTAGGAAAATGTCATTTTAAATTATGAAAATAAAATTTAAGATAAGTCCTACTCAATTTATTAATCCTATGAGCAGAATCGGTCTACTGTTGGCTTGTGAACTTGGAGTCAATTAATATAATAAATCATAGACTTTTCTTTATTTTTTTTAATATTAATATTTTTTATGAAGAAATTGTGAAAATATTGTTACACATGTGAAGTGGGAAAATTATTTGACTTTTTTTCATAAAAAGGTAAAAATAATTGGAATTAGAGTTATATTTTTTTTATAAAAATGATGATTTGGTATGTTTAAGCAAAACGAGGTGTTGTTTTTAGGGATGACAACGAGTCAGATTGTGACAGATTTTTAGTTAACTTGACCTGAAAAATATGTATCTTCCATTCGAATCTGATCTGATCCGAAAATTATATATCCTCCATTCGACTTGACCTGAACCGACCCAAAAAATATATACTCTTCATCCGACCCGACCTGGATTTTTAGTATATGGATGCATATGAGGTGTTGAACACTAATAGATAATATGAATGCATGGGATTGGCTTCCCTTTAGGGCTTTTGCCTTTGGGGAAAGTAAAAACATATTGAGAAAGGATATATTACAGCACCTCACAGCTCGCTTTCAACCTCCATAATTGCTTTGAAAACCCCAAAAAAGGGTAAAAGAAATAATAATAATAATAATAATAATGCAAAAAAAAGAAGATTTTGATAACCATGATATCCATGGCCCATGGGGACATAGAAAGACTCATTTTTCCACCTTCTAAATAGTCCCAACCCCCCCCCCCACCCAATACAAAAATTATATAAATTTTAATCTATAAATTTTTGGTTGCGTAGCGTTTACCGTGATTACGGTCATAACTGGCACTATTGTGGGTATAGCGGGTATCACGGAGGTCGCCGCTACTGCTATTTTACGGGCGCTATCGCGGACCGCAATTTAAAACCCTACTATAGGATGTTACTTTATTGCATCACTCGACTATTAAAAGTTACAAAATGATCAACAGACTATCCATTATATTCCATATTCGTCATTTTTCCGTTAAAAATTGACGACATTTTGAGCTGGATGTTAATTTGTTGTCTAATATATGATAAAATATGATCTCAGATTCTCAAACGACTATCATATCTCATATGGTATATTAACATCCAGCTCAAACCATCAATATTTTAATTGAAAATGACGAATTTGAAACATAATAAATAATCAACTGGTAATTTTATAACTTTTAATAGTCGAGGGACTCAACAAAGCAATGTCTTATAGTCGGAGGAACATTTTGTAACTTTTGATAGTCGATGGAATCAACTAAACAATATCCTATAATCGGGGACCATTTTTATAATTTACCCTAAATATAAAGACATTAAATATTTAGACATGTTTAATTTTATATTGTTTTACATGTTGTACCGATTCAGGAATGATTTGAACGAAGTAACTCAAATCTTAAACAATTCAAACATAAAATGACTCAAACATGAATCACATGTTTAGTACGTAAACTATCATGTTTGATTTGTTTTAGTACTTAAATTTTCAAAAAAAAAATCAAACCAAATCAAAACTTTAGTTTTTGTTTCATTTTAATACCATCGTTCAAAATTTAACGTTAAGTTTTTTTTTTAAAAAAGTTTAGTTACTAAAACGGACCAAAAATGATAGTTTAGGTACTAAACGTATGAAGTTTTTAACGGCGGATACTAAAATGAAAAAAACTAAACGTTATGTATGATTTTAGAAAAAATTAATTGTTTAAGTACTAAACCAAACTCAAACTAATAATTTATGTACTAAATACATAGTTTACCCGACTTTTAATGACCTAGTTTTGTGCCATATCTAGAGATAATGAATTTTCTTTGGGAGGAGACTTTTTGAGGATAAAGGCTAGAGGAATGGAAGTTGGTGGGGGAATGGGTTAGGGGCATAGGTTTAGGAAAGAACTTTGTGAAGAGTGGGGCCATGTTTGGTTAGCGATAATTATGCTCTCCATTTCGTAGCTTCAACCCTGTTTAATAATGATTAGCCAAGTGGAATAATTTAGTTTGTTGGATTAAAGTATACTGTCCTGCCAAACAGACCCCACCAACTCTTAATTAAAATAATATAACCTCATCGTTTCAACCACATAATTTAAGCTTATTTTAATTTCACGTCACATTCTCTTCACTTTTAAATTTAGTCGGGTCTTACGTTTCTGTCTATATGCAGAGATTTTTTTGTATGGATTTATTTGCAGGGATTACTGTCCAAGTACAAACGCGCATATGATATTAATGATATTAATGTCTGCATATGAATATTGTTCAATTATGTATTTATGTATTTATTTATACATGCATTGCATTTTATCTATATTTTTAATTTTCTGACTGCCGGAGGTCTTCCACAGAAGCTACTCTCAACCTGGCGTTGGGAGCAGCCTACTACCCTACCTCCCCCTTACCCATTGCATATGGGAATTGAGTTTTGTTGTTGTTGTTATTGTTAATTTCACGCGCCTCCATCATTTACCACTCAATTATATTCTCAATCATATTTTTGACATTAAAATTTAAGAATGTTCAATTTAACTATTCAACTTTCAAATTGTTCCTATTTTAATCATTCTAAATTATTTTTTTAATAATTTATGTGAGATGACATTTTTTTATTATGATTTTATTAATATATAATCAAAAATAAAAAAATAAATTTTGAAAGTCATACTAATCAAATTAAAAATTTTAAACTTTAGTGACTAAACTAGGAGTGAGAAGATAGTTGCGCGATGAATGATGCAATCTACCCATAAAAAATTATCACCCTGCAAATCACCTGTTTAGTTTATAACGACGAGGTACTAAAACGAAACAAAAACTAAATGTTATATATGGTTTTATAAAAAATTAAAAGTTTAAGTATTAAAATAGCCAAAAACTGATAATTTAGGTACTAAATATATAATTTACCGTAAAAATAATAGTAATAATTTAAAAATTGTAACTAAAATCCCTAAAAATGAATTGGATTAACAATTTCCAATTGTACCGAATCTAAATTGGGGGTTGGGAGGGGTAAAAGTAGTACCAAGTGACAACTAATGTCCGAATAAGAACGTACAAAAGGAGTGGTCCGAGTGACTGAGTCTGTTGCCGGACAAAGGCTGAGTCAAACAACCCTAACGGGACCGCAGCGTGACTATGCCATCACCTTCCTTCCTTTCTTTTTTTTTTTACATCAAAAATATTAAAAAATTAATATTTTAAGTTACGCTCTACATAAAATGTTATGTATTTTATTATATTTTCGGTTGCACTTATTTTTTATATTTTTTTAACCATAAATTAGGCCGCACACAATAGAACTTCCCCCAAAATAATACTTTCGATTTTAACCAAAACTATCACTCCCACAATCCTATAATTAATATCTTATATGACTATATATATGATTTTAAGAGATATATTTGATCAAGAAAAATAATAAAATTATTTAAGTATATATTATCCTAAAAGGTGATTAATAGATTTGTGTTTTATATTAACATAGCATAATATATATGTATATATATCACATATAATTGTAGAAATCATTTAAATTAGAATAAATTAATGTCATAATATTATAAATATTTATAATTAAATTTAAAAAACGTGAAGAAAATCTAAATAAAATATAAATTATAAAATAAGATTCATCTGGTCAACAAACTCAAAATTTTGACTTTCCTAGATCAATGTTCATCCTAGTTAAGATGATTCTTTCTTATAATAAATGTTTTCAATAAATCAAACATAAAATAGATTTCACTGCCCAAACTCAATTACAGTTGATAATTGGAGACAGGAAAGGAACAAAAGCTTTCTCTCTCTCCCTCTCCCTCTCTTTTTCCCTTTCTTTTCTTCACGTACCATTGTTAATATTTTCTCTGAGTCTCTTCCTTTTGGAAAAGAAGGAAAGTCATTTCTCCAAGGCCTCCAAAATCATCCAATATAGCCCTTTTCTTCTTCTTCCCATTGTTTGTGAGCAAATCGTCTGAAGTTTCTTTAAGCTGCTTCACCATGTTCATCTCTTAAGCTTCCAACTCTCCTTCTCTGCTTTGCTCTTCACACATTTTAACCTACATTTCTAATCTACAACCTGTATGTTATGCCACTTTTCAGCTATTTTTCTAATTTGGGTTGTCTTTGTATTTTTATCTGCATGTGATTTTGACCCTTTTTTTTTGTTTTTGCTTTCTGGGATCATGCTGGTTTATGCTTTCTTTGCCTTCCCCCCCCCCAATAATGATGTATATGTTTGGCTTTTTTGAAGAACAATAAATTTTGGGTAACAAGTAATAATGTGGGTTGGAAATTTATTGGAATGTAGTTGGAAATCTGATATGTTTAGGTTAGCTGCTTTTGTAAGTAAGAGAGAAATCGAAGAAGATGAAGAAGAAGATAATTGCAGTCCATAAAGGGGAATGATATACACCCTTTTATTATTGCAAAGAGAAAGATGATATATCAGTCCTGTTATCATTTTCCTTATAAAAAATTTAGAATTTTTTTTTGTGAAATGTGCAGATTATAGTCGATCTTTCCAGCTAAGAACACAGCTTTTTCATTTTCATTTTATTTTCCCAAGTGTAGGAAATTCCACTGATTCTTTGGTCAAATTTGGAAGAAAGTTGAGATTTTGGAGGTCTAGCTGAACCTTGTGTACTTTGGTAGCTGCTTCTTTGGATCTGTAGAAATCCGTTAGGTTTATGCACTTTTGTGTACTTCTTTGAATTCATTCAATATTTTGGTTGAGATGATTTGCTTTCGTTACTCGAATATAGTCTGCCTATGTCTTGTTTGCTTGATTTGAGCTTTTTTGGTACTCGACGGTGTTCGTATAGGTTCGATATGTGTGTGCGCCTGCGTGCGTGTGTTTTCTTTTCATAGCATTTTGTAAGGTTAATTACGCAGATTAATCTTGAGTTGAAACGTAGATGTTTGCGAGTTCTCTGTTTGCTTTGAGATCTATGCTTGACAAAAGTGATCTTTTAGTGTTTGGTTTGAGCCTTTGAGGTTTGATCATAAGGTTGTTTCCTCTGTGTGTATCTCTAAGGAGCAGAGAATTGACCTAAAGATGACGAAGATAAGTCCTGACATCGATGAAACGATGCTGAAAGAATTGATCGTGGCTGTTTCAGCTGATGTGAGCTTTGCTTCTGACCACTTTCCAAAGTACAAATTAGGACCTGACAATCAGATTTTGGAGGAGCCAACAGGGGATAACAATGGTCCGTCGCTCAAGGAGGTTGTTGAAAGGGAAACGACACAGTTATCCGAGCAGCACAAGCGACTCTCGGTTCGCGACCTTGCTAGTAAATTTGATAAGAACCTTGCTGCTGCTGCGAAATTGGCTGATGAGGTGGGAACCACCTTATTCTCGGTTGCTCCGATATCACCTCAATTATTCTCTTTTTGCCATTCTACTCGATCCTGAATCTCCCGGTATCTGTCTCATTGACAATGGATGATATAGTGAATAACACTTGCTTTCTTGTAATTTAGGCCAAGCTTAAAGAGGTTGCTTCTTTGGAGGGGCATGTTCTTTTGAAAAAACTTAGAGACGCCTTAGAATCGTTGAGAGGTCGTATGGCAGGGAGAAACAAGGAAGATGTAGAGAAAGCCATCTCTATGGTTAGCTGTTTTGCCTTATCATTTCTTCATTTTCACTCGAGTTTTTCGCTTGAAGCTTAATGTATCACATCTATCGTAAGATGCTGCGCTTTATTCACAAATTCTAACCAGGTTGATGTGTAGTGTTCGGATTGTACAACCCTTCCGTTTCATGATATAATGTACGACATCATGCATTCATATAAACAAGAAGCCCTCTTCATTTTCATGCCGAATGGCCAATGTTTCCATCGTTAAACATGCTTTCTTCTGCTTTATACAAAATGTCTTCTATGATTTTGACTGTATTTCTTTCGACTTAAGACATTATACATAATGATTTTTGGCAATAACTATCCCTTTCCCCCACTTACATGTAGGTTGAGGCATTGGCAGTTAAATTGACTCAAAATGAAGGAGAGCTGATACACGAGAAGTTCGAAGTTAAAAAACTGGCAAACTTTCTCAAGCAGGTCAGCTCATGGGAGTCGAGTTTTGGATCGTATTCTTCATTCTCTTGATGTGTCAAATGAAGATCATCCTTTTCTTTCCATTTTTACTGAATTGAATGTATTCCTTTTTGTATCCAGGCTTCCGAAGATGCTAAAAAGTTGGTTAGTCAAGAAAAATCTTTTGCTTGTGCTGAAATCGAAAGTGCTAGGGCTGTAGTACAGCGATTCGGAGATGCCCTTGACGAGCAAGAAAAGAATCCCGAAAATTCACAGAAAACACAGGTATAATCGAGCTTTTTATGTCGGCTTTCCTTCCTAATCCATCAGTTTTATTGGAAATTGATCCTTCTTTTGGCAAGCGTACATGTATGTTTCCTTTATCGTATAGTCTTATTTATTCCCATGCTTTCGATGGGATTAAATAAGGAGGTGCATGTCAAGTAGACGTATTTTCCGCACCGTGATTGAAGATTACAATGTTGAAGACAGTGTTGCACTTAATTCATCTTTGCTGTTATCTCTTGCAGGAGGTTGAGGAGCTCATTGTGGAGGTTCAAGAGGGTAGGCGAATTAAATTGATGCATCAGCCAACCAAGGTGCGTGCGTGCGTGTGTGTGGTTAAATGAAAACATAAATGCGATTTGCATTCGATAAATAACTTCGTCTCCTAGCTTTAAGGACTTTAGTGTCCAACTGATTCGCTCGTCATTTGTACGCTTAATCAACATGTTGAGGCTTCTAATGTCATCAGTTGGATCCTAGAATATTGGAGTCATTACTGATGCATAGCTTTTTCTAGTTTTCGGCATAGTACGAAACGCTTTGCCTCTTCTTTCTCATTATATGACGTCGAAGACGACACTGTTTCGGCTTGATATCTATTGGCGACGTCTACATGCATGTCAAAGTAGTAGAGGTTTTCGTTAAAGATATGGTTTTGATATAACGGCAGCTTCTGATTATTGCAATTTGCATCGTTTTCAGGTAATGGATATGGAGCACGAACTTCGTGCTCTCAGAGCTCAAATTCGAGAGAAATCTCTATTCCAAGCAAAGCTTCAGAAAGAGGTAGGTTGAGTTTTTCTTTTTCTTCTTTTGTCTTGATACTGATCCCGAAAACTCGAATGTTCTTGCTTGAAACTGGTGTAATCTGGTCTATGATCATTTCTGATGTTCTAATCTATGCTGGTTAATTTACAGTTGGCAATTAACAAGATGGCCGAGGAGAACAAAGTCCGTGTTTTCGGCTTTCATGGTTCTGGAACTCTCGGTTCATGCTTAAAACTCCAGCCTTGTTCTGATAATGCTCCGCCGCTTTCAAAATCTATGATTCAGTGGTATCGACTATCGTCTGACGGAAATCGGAGGGAAATAATTTCAGGTATCCATTCCAGGAATGTTCTTTACATTGTTGCTTGATAACCTGTATCATTTACATTGCATCCTACTCTAGTAACTGATCCGATTTTCGGCGTTATCAGGTGCAAACAAAACCATGTATGCTCCAGAACCACTTGATGTTGGCCGAATTTTGCAGGCTGAGATTCTGTCGAACGGCCGGAAAATCTCTGCGACAACTGCCAAACCTATTGACTCTGGTTAGTTTACACCCGAATGCATAAGTGTTCCGATGAATAGAAACGAAAGCAAGAAAGGCTGATAGAGTTACCTTCACAGCTGCAGGTTTGGGAAGCTACGTCGAGACGCTTTTGCGGAAATCGAGCAGTGAATTTAATGTATGAATGATTCTTTTCTGTTAGTTATTTCTAGAACTGGTTCACATGGTAGGAATACTTGTTGACTTCTAATCGAAGCATCGTCGTACTATGCCTTTTTCTAGGTAGTCGTCTCTCAAATCAATGGACAAGATCATCCGTCACGCTCGACTCACGCATTCAATATCGGAAAGATGAGGATCAAGCTCTGTAGAGGATGGATCACAAAGGCCAGAGAAAATTATTCCACATCAATGCTGGTGATGATCTTACTTTTTATTCAGTAAGTACCTTTTTCCATTACCCCCTTCTCACATAGTTCCGGATCTTCCTAATGAAGCTATGCGGAGCTAGAGGTGACGCTAACGCGCCGGCCAAGTCATTGTTTTGGCAACCGAGGAAAGGGCTCTCTTATGTATTAACATTCGAATCAGATAAAGAACGAAACGCGGCTATCATGGCCGCACGGAAGCACGCTCTCGATTGCAGTGTACGTCCCTAGACAAAGCTCGTTTGTTTTCATTACTCGTTTATCTTTTCGAAGAATATCGAAAACCACGGTAACGAATTATGTTGTTGATTATGCAGGTGATGCTAGGGGGACCAGATGATGAAATGTAGAAGTAAAAAGAACAAAAATCTAACTGAAAGAGTGTTTTGTTTGTTGAAATATTTGTATGGTGTGTTTGGTAATGAGGGAGAAGAATGTGGGAAAATTGCGGTTTGACCCCTTTGGGTTTCTACTAATTTGGTTGGCTAATGTCATTGTTTAGGCAGTGTTTTTTTGGTTTGCCTAATCACTGCTTGTAACATGTTTTCCTTAATCGGTTTGATTGCTTGATTTGTGCTTCATTTGCTCATTTTAATGTCCGTTTTACTTATGTTCGGAGTTCGTGACTGCCGTTCTCATTCTCCGAACAATGCGGTGTTACAATGTTTCTTTTTCCTTGATCGAAAGCTCCCCTAGAGGGAAGACAACACAATAGCATCGAAGCAACAACGGAGCTTGACCGGTGACAACAAGGTGATATTGACACCGAAATACGATAGGAGATGGCTTTGTAGCAGGAAAAACACGGATACTTGACTCCGACAAAAGTGCGGAAAATATCACGAGAAGAGGCAGGGAGCGGAAGCGTGGCCTCCGGACGGCTAGAGGCTGAGGAGGACAAGGAGGGTCAAGCTCCCAAGCTTAAAGGGAAGATGTGAGAGGCTAAGGATAGACCATGGATCTTGGTGTTACGAGTATGGTGATTTAGTAACATTAACCAATACGGTGTCGTTTATTGAATTTAATATTATGAGAACATTAATTTATACTATGTAACCTACTATGTTGTTAAGAGTTAATAACATTAATGGACGAATTAAACTATTTCAGTGATTTAAGGAATAGTCGTTATCTCAAAGACCCGGGTTCTATCTTAATGATTTAAGGGATGACTGTTATTGTTAAAAAATTTAGATTCGAGCACTTCATATGTCAAAGGTGTTTGAGCATTCATATTTAAATTTATATTAGCATTAAGGATAAGTATTTGACTTGAATATGATGAGTTTAGACCTAATTCTATTCCTTCCCTTTTGAAAAATTCAAGTTTGGATTAGATCGGATAAGGTTTTTTTTTTTTTGTAAGAAAAGGTCGTATCAAGTTTAGCGTGAAAATATCTGACTTGAAAATAATATATAATTATCTTTATATATTTAGATATAATTACTAGGCCACTTTTCTTTTAATGTATTTTTTTAATTAAATCCTTATTTTTTGAGTTTTATCCCAAAAATTAGACTGGGTGAAATTTCGCTATACTCATATCGGATTGAGTGACTTATAGAGGTACGTTATACTCCAGTCAGGTTCGATGGGCCAAATGCCCAATCCAACCCAAGACTATTTGTAGTCAACATCATTGTTAAACTTTTAGCGGTTGATAACCAAAATAAAAAATGTAAAATTAGTGATGATTTTACCCAAACATAATATTAGATGACCAAAGTAGAAAATAAATAATAGGTTGATAGCTAATAATGTAGTTTAACCCATTTATATATATATATTTACACAGGCAAAACCCTAGAACGCAAACGGGTAACTTTATTTTAGCAGACAGAGCCACATGGAGCCTTTAAACTGACAGGTAGGTTAACGGCTATAATTTAGTGACGAATTTTGTACCGTTAGATTAGAAGCAATCCAACGGTGGTATTTTGAAAAATCAAATATGCCCGTTGGCTCGCCTTAGCTTCAAAAGGAAACCAAATCTCCCCTTCTCCTCTTATATTCTCTAGAAGCCCTAAGAGAAAGGCGAAAGAGAAGATCGAAAGTGAAGAGAACAACAACAACAACAAAAATGGCTTCAAGAACAATTGTACCTCAACAAGGCATAGGTGCTTTTAGGGATTTGACTTTTGTTTTGGGGGAGGATCGCTTGAATGCTTGCTTGGATTTGTTTTTCTTCTTCTTTTTTTTGTTCGAGATGATTTTTATGGGTTTATCTTGAAAGTTTTTGGCCAAAAAAAGAAATGGGTTCTTTGCGATCTGTGTTTGTTTTGGTGGGATTTTGCTAGAACCATATGAATCGTTTAAGGAAATGATGATTTTCTTTAGCAGGCGAGGCCGGAGTTGGTGGCGCCGGAGCGGCAGTTCACAAGCAGGCGAACAAGAACGCTGCGGCCGGAGATGGGAGGAACCGCCGTGCGTTGGGAGATATTGGGAACGTGGTGAAGGTCCGAGGAGCGGTTGTTGATGGCAAAGAGCAGCAGCAGATTCATCGTCCACGCACAAGGTCTTTTTGCGCCCAATTACTTTCCAATGCCGAAGCCGCCGCCGCCGCCGTCGAGAAGAATAAGGTTTATTTTATATACGATTTATCCGATTTGACTTATTTTGATTAATAAAGAAAAAAGAAAATCCTAATTCAAAATCTGGGTTTGTTTTGGATTTCAGAAAAATGTATGTGTAAATGTGGAAAAAGCTCCTGTTCTTGAAGGAGCCGCTGCTGTGCCAAAAAGAGGTGTTGCCGCCGCTGTGCTGAAAAAGAAACCCGCTGCTAAGCCGGTGCCGGCGCATGCAGAAGTGATCGAAATCAGCCCGGATGTGGTGGAAGTGAAGTCGAAAAAAGAGGAGAAGAAGAAAGAGAAGGTTATTGATGCGAAGAACAATAAGAAAGTCACTCAAAGGGAGGAATCATCCAAGAAAAAGCAACATACTTTCTCTTCGGCCCTTACTGCAAGAAGCAAGGTAATCAATCAATCTTTCGAATCTTTTTCGAGTAATTATTGTCGAAAACTCGAGGCAAAAACGTGACTTTTTGTTGTTGTTTCGGAATTCAGGCGGCTCATGAAATTGCAAACAAGCCGAAGGAGGAGATTGTTCATGATATTGATGAAGCAGATGCTTATAACCACTTGGCTGGTGTGGAATATGTTGAGGATATCTACAAGTTCTATAAATCTGTTGAGGTTAGCAAATAAATAACAAATTTCATCAATGTCTAACTTGAAAGATGATTTCGATTTTCGACAAGCCGGGACTTATGAAAATGTTGTGGAAAATGCAGAATGAGAGCAGGCCAAGTGACTATATGCACTTGCAGACCGATATTAATGAGAAGATGAGGTCCATTCTTGTTGATTGGCTGATTGATGTTCATCAAAAGTTCGAGCTTTCACCAGAAGCTCTCTATCTTACCGTCAACTTGATCGACCGATTCTTGTCGGTGAAAGTTGTCCCGAGGAAGGAATTACAGCTGTTGGGCATGAGTGCCATGCTTATTGCCACCAAGTATGAAGAAATCTGGCCCCCTGAGGTGAATGATCTGGTGTGCATTGCTGACAGAGCTTACACTCATGAACAAGTACTTTTGATGGAGAAAACTATATTGGGAAGGCTCGAATGGACTGTGACAGTGCCTACACACTATGTCTTCCTAGCTCGATTCATCAAGGCATCGATCCCGGATCCGGAAGTGTGTTTTTACTTCTTTCAGTCACTTGTTGGTGTTTAGATGAAAATTTACATATGGTTGATGTTGTTTTCTTTTGCGTGTAGATGCAAAGCATGGTATATTTCCTAGCCGAGCTGGGGATAATGCACTACGAGACCATTCGATTCTGCCCATCGATGGTGGCTGCCTCGGCGGTGTATGCCGCTCGATGCGCCCTAAACAAGACTCCGAATTGGACCGACACACTCAAGTTCCACACTGATTACTCGGAGTCGCAGCTCGTGGATTGTGCTAAGCTGCTGGCTTATTTCCATTCCAAGGCTGCTGAGGGCAGGCTTCAGGCTGTGTATAAGAAGTACTCGAGTTCTCTACAAGGAGCGGTCGCATTGGTTCCGCCATCGAAGAATCTATTATCTGCTGAGAGTAGTAGGCTTCAGGTTGTTTAGTACTTGGATTTTGTTGTTTGGAAACTAACTGCTGTGATTCTCCCCCCAGAGAAGCATTGATTGCCTTAAAGAAGAAACATTCATTTGAATAACAATTAATTTGTTGATGAATGAAACAACATGAACCATCGTCTCTGTAAGCCATTTTATGCACTATATATGCCATTTTTCATCACCAATGTGCCTAAGTTTCGAGTGTCGAAATTCCCGAAATTTTACTCGGATTATCGAAAATTAGCTTCGAGAATCCGAGTGCTCGATCATCGAGCGCCTAGCCGCCTATTGCCGGACGATAAGAGTATGAAATGAACCTGCCGGAAAAAACATCTCTTAGAAATTCAATACCTTTAGTTCAATATGTGTGAGTAATCTATTGAGTTAATAAAAATTTTCAAGTTGATTTCTGAAAGAACGGGGACCCAGGATTATGCGTCTGCGTCGAGGATTTTTGAAGAGTTTATTTCTGTTTGCGATCTGATCGAGGTGCCTAACATATGAATCCGGGAATCATGTGTTGTTAATAAAGGCTTAGGAATTAACAATCTGCTGCTGCTAGCCAAAAATATGACAAAGGCTAGAGAGAAGGAATTCAAGGAGTTGAATCCTGAATCTGCGGAAGAGTTAAGTAAAAAGATTGATTCGTTAGAAGATAGATGGCTGTCCGATCCTAGTAATATTCAATTTCAACAAGAGATTTCTGCGTTGAAGGCTAGATTATGGGCTGTGGTAAGGAAAGAAGAGCGTGAATGGTTACAAAAATTAAGGCTTAGATGGTTTAAAGAGGGTGATAAAAATACAAAAAAAAATCATCTTTCTGCTGTCTCCCGAAGTCGGAAAAATCAGATTTCTAAGCTGAAATTTCAGAATTCGTGTATCAAAAATCAGGCTGCTATTCAACAAGCGTTTGCAAATTTTTTTGCCGCTAGTTATAACACGGTGAAGACTTTTGCTTTGAAGAAATTTGACATCCCTTTTAAGAGATTAAACGCCGTCACCAGAAGGTTCATTGAGAGTCCTTTTTCCGAAGAGGAGGTATGGCTTGCAATTAAGTCTTCGGATGGTTTGAGAGCGCCTGGTCCAGACGGGTTTAGTTTGGACTTTTTTAAGAAATTTTGGCAGCATATTAAGGATGAAGTCATGAAGTTTATGGAGGATTTCTACTGGGGCAGAGTAGACGACATCTCTTTTAATAAATCTTTCATTCCGTTAATTCCGAAGAAATCAGAGGCTATCTCTCCGGATGATTACAAACCCATTTCTTTGGTGGGTAGTTTGTATAAGATTGTTGCTCGTGTAATGGCGAGGAGGATGAGCAGGTGTCTTTCTGTCGTTATAGGAGAAAATCAGTTTGCTTTTATTCCTGGTAAACAAATCGCGGATTGCAGTCTGATCGCTAACGAAGTCATTGACGGGCTATTGAAAAATAAGAAAGAAGCGGTTCTGATCAAGGCAGACTTTAGCAAAGCTTATGACACGGTCGATTGGCAGTTTTTAGACCTGATCCTCAAGAAAATGGGGTTCGATAGAAGATGGAGAAAATGGGTCCGCTTTTGTATTTCTACCCCTACTATTGATGTTCTTGTAAATGGTTGTCCGTCCAACAGTTTCTCTATTAAGAGGGGTCTCAGACAAGGATGTCCGCTGTCGCCTTTGCTTTTTAATATTGTCAGCGAGGCGTTAAGTGGTATGATTAAGAAGGCTTCGGAATCTGGCCTTTGTTGTGGTGTTGATGTGGGGACTGGTGGCTTTGTTTTATCCCATTTTCAATTTGCTGATGACTTACTCATTTTTTCTGCTCCAAATCTGTTGTCTGTTCTTAATTTTAATCGGGTGCTAAAATTTTTTGAAGTGGCCGCAGGTTTGAAGTTGAACATGCGCAAAACTAAGCTGTTTGGTATCAATTTGGAAGAAAGTAGAGTTAGAAGGTGGGTAGATTCGATTCATTGTGGTTGGGCAGAGTTTCCGTCGACATATTTGGGGCTGCCGCTTGGTCATCGAAAAAACTCTAAGTCCTTGTGGAATCCCATTATAGACAAATTTAAGAGTCGGCTACATAGTTGGAAAGGTAAAATGCTTTCTTTGGGTGGGAGACTTACATTTATAAAATCGGTCCTTGTTAATTTGCCGGTCTATTATATGCCATTTTTACAGTACCCAAGTCCATTGCTGATAACATTAATAGATGTATAGCGAATTTTGTGTGGAATCCTAAGTCCGATAGGAGTATCCATTGGATTAAGTGGGAAAACATTTGCAAACCGAAAGCTCATGGGGGTTTGGGCTTTTTCGACATAAAAATTAGAAATCGTTCCCTGCTTAATAAATGGATTTGGAGGTTTAGCGCGGAGAAAGATTGTCTTTGGAGGAAGGTCATTGTTGCCAAGTATAATTATGACCAAGACGACATCATTCCTAAAGCGGTAAAAATCAGACTTTCTTCTTGGATATGGCGTAATATTGTGAATCTGACTGGGTCTTCAGAAACTGATTTTATCGCCGATTTGAGGTGTGTTATGGGAAATGGCAGTATGATCGGTTTCTGGGCAGATTTTTGGACAGAAAAAAGTTCTCTTAAATTATCGTTTCCGAGAATTTTCAGTATAGCAGTTAAAAAATGCGGTAAGATTAAGGAATTTTGTTGTTGGGTTCAGGGTAGATGGGAGTGGAGGATTGATCTGAGAAGAGTCTTTTTTGATTGGGAAATACCAATCTGGAATGATTTTAGGCATGTTCTGGATAATGCGGTTAGTTCAATCCATAGTTCGGACAGGTTGTTGTAGTCGGGAGCGAATGATGGCCTTTATAATCCAAAAGCTTTATGTCTTAAAGTTTCTTCTGCCGGTTTTTTGGAAGATCCAATTTGGAAACTGGTTTGGTATAAATTTGTCCCGCCTAAAGTTTCCGCTTTTCTTTGGAAAGCAGTACATTGTAGGCTGCCGGTAATGATAGAGTTGGCAAAAAGAGACGTTAATTGTGTTGATTGTCGTTGCCTGTATTGCAATTCTGAGCTAGAAACGATCAACCATATCCTTTGTCATTGCGTGGTAGTTTGGAATGTTTGGAAACGTTGGTGTAGTGTATGAAATGTTAATTTCGTAATTCCCATGGACGTTAAAAAACTGTTATAGATTTGGTTTGTGCAGAGTATTAAGAGGAAAGTGCGGGGATTTGGCATATGGGATTTTTTGGCCTGATTTGGACAATTTGGATTTGCAGAAATAAAACCAGATTCAAAGGTTTGTCCTTCACAACAGATCAGATCTTTCATCTTGCTTTGGTCTAGATAGGGATTTGGGTTAATTACTTATGGCCGAGGTTGATTCCATCGGTGATTGATTTTGTTCGAAATCCAGAAGCTATTGTTCGTGGCGTTGGCTGATGGTGTTCGTTTGGTTCTGTGTTTTCAGGCTTGTTTTCTGTGGATGCTGGTCGCTCGGCTAATGATTCCGTTTTGAGTCTGAAGCTGCGTTTTTGCTTTTCTTTTTCATTTCTTTTGTCCGGTCTTGCTTCCAGATTAGATTGGGATTGGTCTTTAATTTTTGCCTGTGCCCCACGCTGTATTGTTCGTGGGATTTTTTTTGTTCCAGAGTAGTCTGGGATTGGTCTATTATGTGTATCGGACTACATTTTGCTCTATTGCACCTCAAGACATACTCTTTTTCCTCCAAGTAGGATTAGGGAGGTTTTTTAATGAGGGTCTTGAGGTGTTTACTTTGTTAATCCCTTAATACAAAGTAACCTTTTACAACAAAAAAAATATTCAATTTTTATTTGACTCAATAATACTCTCTATGTATTATTTTCTTTCAATTAAATCTCTATTTTTATTGAATAAAAATAATATTTTTAATAAATATATTATTTTGGGTCGAATCGTGTTCAGATTTTATCTCAGAAAATAAGGTCGAGTTCGAGACGGGTGGAGGGTTTATAATTTTTGGGTTGGGTCGGGTGGACGAAAAATCCGACCTGAAGATAATCACAAATAATACAAATCAAAAGAAAAATAAAATAATCACAAATTTTAGGTGGAAACTTATAGACAAAAAATTACGGACAAAGGGAAAAATTAACTAAAGTCGAAATTGTACAAGAGACTACGGTAATTTGTTCAATTTCAAAATTTGAAAAATACAAGATATTATGAGACTATATATATAACATGAATTAATAATAAAATTATAAGATTAAGGGGCTATTTGTTTGCCTCTTAATGAAATCATTACGCGCTGAATGCTGAACCGTTCAATATTCAGCGCGTTTATTTCGCACCTCTGAATGATTCAGTGTTGACTGATTCAGCAAAACAGTGCTGAATGATTCAACACATAAATACATTCTGAATGATTCAGAGCTATTATCAAACAACATGTCACATTAAGAACTAATTCATATAGAGCCTCTGAATCATTAACGCTTAATCATTCTGAAATAAACAAGCAACCCATAAATCCGTATTTTACGCTAATAGAATTCATATAATCAGGTTGCTAATTTTCTATAATGGATTTTTAAACCTCTTATATTGATTTTTGGGTAAACTACACTGGTAGTCTTTAAACTTTTAGGACACTACCAATTTGGTTTCCAAACTTTTAAAATTTGTATTGGAGTCGCAACAGTGACCAAAATACAAGCAAATTAAAAATTCAATGACCACAATGCAAGTTTTATAAGTTTGATGACCAAATTGCAAGCATCCTAAAAGTTCAGGTACTACCGGTATAGTTTACCCTTGAGTTTTAAATTAATAGGTCCTTCTAAATTATGCTTAATTACATATTTTTCCAACCAAAATGGAGTATCTACAGAAACATCCCTAATTAACTTGAACCGAAAGTAGAAGATGAGAAAAAGTAGAGGAAAGTATTTGCATATAGATCTGTTTTTCCCTCTGATTTCAGCAAAAGAGAATACACAAAGCAGTGGTCACATAATCTATAGGCCCTGCCACCAGTGTGGCTTTTGACCTGAAAATGGTGCCACTCGATCGTTACTCGGATATTTCCAGCACGGAAAAACAGCATTTATCCAACCGAACAAGAGAGCACGCCCTTTGAGTTGCTCTCGTTGGCGAAACGCTAGTTTCGGAATTATACAGTTTGAAAGCGATTGTAACTAGAAAACAGGTTCATACTCTCTTGTTATAAATACAACATGGTAATAACTAATAGGAGTGAAAGCAGCCATTGCATAGTTGGAAGACCTGCAGATGCAGCAAAAGTAATGCGTTAGCATACATGCATTAGTCGATGTGACTGCACGAAGAATATTTAGAGCTCGGATCTGAATATGAATTACATCGACCGATATAACAATTATCAGAACGGAGGAAGTTAAAAGAAAACGAGAAAAGCTGAGGCATGGATCAAAACATGAATTGAACTGATCGCTAATGATTCTCAAATTTCTAATTATGACTAGAATTACTGCATAAGAAACGCATGTTCAGACATCAGTTGAATGTGAGAAATGGTCAGATAATTAATGATCGGAACTTTTTCGGTTTGGCATGCAAGAATAGGCTAAGATGTCAAAATATCATCTTTAATTATTCAGAAAACATCATTTACTTACGTAAAGATGCCAATGCTGATGGCGGAACTGAAGGTGTCCCGTCGGGAGCCTCATTATTTGGTTCACTCTTCGATGGAGGTTTGTCATGAGCAAACGCTACATTTGGCAGCGGACTGGATGTGGGAGTCAAATAGGAAACGGGTCTGAGCTTAGGTTTGGGTGCCGGTGCTGATGAGTGTACATTTGGTGGGACAGGAGAATGCTGAGGAGAAATTTCGGGTGTGGAAGCGGGGGCTACATTAGACTCCTCTCGAGTCTTCCCCTTGCTCCTTTTATTCCCATTATGGCAGCCTGGCGGGTTTGCCTTGTTACTCCGTTGAGATGCTGGTGAAATTGTTTCGGGGGCAGGTGAATAAACTTCTGGTGCAGATGCAGCACCTTTCTTGGCTGATGTAGCAGGTGAAACTGCAGGAGCTAGATCATCACCGTGGTGATGGTGGTGGTGATGGTGACGATGATGGTGATGATGGTGGTTACTGTGGAGGGGATGAGGCGAAGGAGCAGGAGAAGGGGACGATGAGTTTGAGTTGCCATCACCTCCATGAACGGAATGTTTTGGAATGGACGAAAGCCGAACTTCCTTAACTCTACCAAATACAGTGTTGTTCAGGCCGAGGTTTCTTGAATGAGAACCCGTGATGGTTTGAGCTAGTTGCTTCAATCTCGGAATCGATGGATTATTCCCTACGGCCAGCAGAACAGATGACTGAACAGTAGTTGGGGGAGCAGCTGTTGAACCTTCCGAATTTGATAAGATAATATACAAGTTCTGAAACTCGCAAAATAAAACGCATCAGATTCGGCACAAGAGATGCTAATAGAACTCTCTAATAGTACATAACAAGCTTTAATCTTACTCCACAAATTCTAAGCACTAAAAGCAACACCAATCGAAAGAGACAGATTGCCTAACCTCATATGTGGCTAGATGCAGTCCAGCCTTCAGCTGGCTCCTCAAATCATCAAAATTTAATTGTATTTGGTAAATAGAGAAGTTTAACGTAAAGTTGAAGCGGATTTGCACTTTCTGCAGAAGAAACGCGCTTTGCGGGGGAATTACAGTGATTCCTCCCGGGAATTTCAGCACGTCCAAGAAATACGACTCCCCGAACAGGGATTCCGTCAAGCGCAAGGACGATCGGTGTGTAACCAGATATTCAAACGACGACAGTGTCAAACTTTCAGCGGTCGGAGATATCTTTGAATATCTTGCATCAGGATCAACCCCAAACACAACCTTCGATACATTCGGTACATTTAAAGGTTCGAGAGATAAGATGACCACCTGGATCGAAGAAGTAACCGGATTTAGGCAAAAATAACACGAACACAATACGTTGCGTAACAAAAAAGGATCAAATTATATACTTTGCTTGTGGGAAAGCCTATCTCATCAAAAATGTCATTTTCAAGCTGCACAATATTGTCTCCCAGAAAAGAAACCGGCTTCTCAACTTTAAAACTCGCTACTATATCATGACCTGGGCAATAAATATTAGTCAGTACAAAATTTTTCAAACAAATGTTAAATCACTTTCATGATCATAAATTCAACCGGTCCAACCCCATAGCAAGCATGGAATTGCCAATACCATGGACCAGCTTCAGTCAGAAGAACGTATAAACAACTACTGCAATTATTATTCGAATGCAGACACTTATAACAAAGTCGATACATACATGCAACGTACATGACGTAAAAACCGATATTAATGATCTATTCTATGCCGAACAAATTCGATTCTACACACAAATGTATATACAATTAGCAGCAAACTCGAAATATGAAATTAAAAACAATTGCAGTACAAAACCTAAAGAAATCCAAAACATTGGCTCATGTAATCACACAAGTGTTAAGAATCAAAATATAGTTCTGAAAAATATTCTACCATTTGCATCTCCAAATTTACTCCAAATTCTAGGAAAAGAAATGTGAATTACTAAACTATACGGATTTATTTTCGATTATATACACCGTCAATGAATCAAATGATGACATATGCCGTCCGCCATTGACAATAAATAATTCTATATATACATATCAAGGATGTAAATAGCGATCCGCTATTAGAATAGTGGCTATTCTATAGTGGCAAAGGTTCCACCCGAAACCGTTATTTTTCAACCGCGACACCCGCACCAACCGCAATAGCACTTATTATTGCCGCAATCGCAATAATCGCTATCCAACTGACCGCAGCCGTAATTTAAATCCCTTATACATATTTAATGAAAAGAAGTTATCAAATTGATTTATCTTATTTTGTTAATTGATAATACAACCATATAACTGGTAATTAACACTCTTAAACCCAGTTTCCTCTAATGGAATTTTAATTATAAAATCTAAAGAAAATCAAATTGGTATGATTCTCCTTTTTTTTCTACATTATCTTCACTTCCATTCATTCATTCATTCATTCATTCATTCCCAGCAACACTCAGAAATGTGAAGCTAAAGAAAGCAAAATCAAAATCTCAGATCCATGCATACACATGTAAATACATATATATATATTTGATTATATGAAGAGACAGAGAGAGAGGGAGGGAGATGGAAAAGTACCTTTGAACCTGGAATCGAGATCCAGATCGGAGTGATCTGAAGAATGAAGAAAAGGGGGAAGCCAAAATAAAGCAGAAAGAAAGAGAGCAAGAGCAAGCAGCACGAATACGAAGCATCGAAGGCCAATGGGAGAGTTTCTGGATCCACAAGCAACGAATCTAAAGCTCAAGCTCGAAATCGAAGCGTTCGATTCCTCGACTAGTACTTCACTGCTCACATTCGAACTCAGTCTCTGTTGTTCTTCAGTTTTTCCCATAGCTCATCACCATTTGCCACTCAAGCTCCATTCTCTTGTTGTCGATTAACATTTGCCTTTGCTTTCGCCATTGTTGCTCTCGTTTTTTCACCTGTAAAAAAACTCGGCACCGAATTTTTTACATATTGGTTTGTAGAAGAGACTGACAAAGCTTGTCTTTGTGCAAGTTTTTTTTTTTCTTAATTTTTTTTACATGTAAAGACAAGAAGATATGTAGGGTTTGAAGATGAACAAAAGAGAATCAAGTCTCTATCTTCTTCAAGTGTCTGATTTAAAGATAAAAGCACGGGCATCAATTTTGGTGGAATTTTCTCTATAAAACAATAGGGTAAATTATGTATTTAATACCTAAATTATTAGTTTTGGCCTATTTTAGTACCTAAACTTTTAATTTTTTAAAACCATTCCTAACATTTAGTTTCATTTCATTTTAGTCCCCATTGTTAAAAATTTAATGTGTTCACCACATAAACTATCAGTTTTGGTATGTTTTAGGACTTAAACTTTCAATTTTGCAAAACTTAACGTTAAATTTTGAACGGGGTACTAAAATGAAATAAAAACTAAACTTTATGAGTTATTTTTTAAAAAAATTGAAGTTTAAGTACTAAAATAGATAAAAACCGATAGTTTAGCTAATATATGCATAATTTATCCTAAAAATGAGATAAATTACGTATTTAGTACCTAAACTATCTATTTTAGTTCGTTTTAGTACTTAAACTTGCAATTTTTTAAAATCACATCTAGCGTCTATTTTTTGTTTCATTTTATTACTCGTTGTTAACATTTAATGGATGAGTTCGTTGGTCGTTGAAACCCAAACTTTTCAACCCGCACCTTTTCAACCCTTAAAAGTGATTTAGACCTCTATTTCATCGTAAAATGACTCTATCTCTCCAAATTGACGATGGACTCTTTGATTTCTTCATCCTCCGATCTCCGTCGTCAACCATTTGATGAGTCTGAAACTGTACTATGTTAGTCGACTCGTCATTCTCTCGTGGTTCACCATTTGGATTGGTTGTCCATCTACTAGAGCTATGTCCCATCAGCCCATCCGTTAAGTTTTTAACGACAAGTACTAAAATGAAACAAAACTAAACATGAATTTTACCTAAAAAATAAAATAAGTATTTATTGGATAAATTACTTTAAATACCCTCAAGTTTTAATGTTTGTGTGGATACCATCGAACTTTTTAATTGATTGATTTGAATCACTGAATTTTGGTTTTTAACATTTTCTTTTTGAAATTTGACCATGCCTTCATTAACTAAAATTATCGTCATTAGCAAGTACAGAGAAAATGCAAGAATTAAAATACAACGGCATGGATGTCTGAGACACATAAGTAGCTAACATATGAGCATATTTATTAGCTTTTCGACTAGCATACCCTTCAACCACAAAGGTCGCACTGTCACGGACAATGATCTTAAATGATGGCGTACTCATTGACCGGACAAACCCTATTCTATTTAAAAAATTTATGTTATTAACATATGTGTACCACACAAGAGGCAGAGTCCGTTGGATAATCCCGCCAGAAACAAACGACGACCGGTCAGGAGAGCCTCGTGAGCTAGTCGCCAACGGCCAAGCCCCGGTCAAAAGGGTGACCAGCCCACCAATAGTCACGGAGGGAAGAAACAGTATAATCCGATAACCCTTGAGGAAGGAGATAACAGTCCATGAGATACGTTGGAAGTGAGCTGGTGTCGATGACCTTCGTATGTGTATTTGCCGCCGGCCTTGATAAATTAGTATTTCCCAAGAACACATTCAATGTACGTAGCTTTGTCACAAGTTTTACTGTGACAAAGCCGTCATCGTGGATCTCTTTCTTCTTCACATATGTCACAGTAATGTCGCAACGGATAGTCATCGGGATCTTGATAAGTAAGCGTCAAAGAATGTTTGTTGCACTTATGTCGAGCAGTGCGTGGTATCGTAACACATCCCTTATCCAAAGCAAATGTACAATCCTTACATCTGTATATAGTATCGGAACTACCGCAAGCATTGCACTTCCCTTCGTACTCGTGATCGAAGAAGAGGAAATGTGGATTATTTGCTTGATATGTAAAACTGTGAGACACCGAAGCACATCTGAGGCAAAAACACCATGAATTATCCACTCTATAGAAGAAACCATTACCCCTATGGTGACACTGATTGCATCTGAAAATACCATCCGTGAGAAGACTAAACGACTCTGCAAGAAACCATAGTCGACGCATCCTCCGTAATAAAACACAAGCCTTGTGCAAGAAGAAGAAGAGTGTGGAGGCGGTGAGCAGGGTGATGAATCTCCGAGGGCAGCTCCGCACATCTCTTGTGAAGGTAAAACCGGCCCTCCCCACAGCTGTAGCTTGAACCCGACACCTTTTCCGCCCAGCCGCCGCAGTCATAAGTAGTGTCGCTTGGACTGCTGATGTCGTAACGGATAATCGTCGGGATCTTGATAAGCAAGTGTCAAAATATGTTGATCACTCTTATGCCAAGCAGTACGTGGTAATGTCATAAATCTCCAATCCAAAGCAAAAGTGCAATCTTTACATCTGTATGCTCTGTCAAAACTCAAATCTTTACCACAAGCATTGCAAGTTCCCTCATATTTTTCCACAAAGAGGAGGAAATGTGGCACATCCGTATGATATACAAAACTGTGAGGTATTGAAACACATCCGAGACATAGTTTTATACGATTATACAATTTATAAGAGAAACCTCTACACACACAACGACATCGACAACATCGAAAAATACCGTATTTTATACGATTATACAGTTTATAAGAGAAACCCCTTAACCTTTGACCAGCAAAAGCTGCAACGAGCTCCTCTTTTCTGAAGTTCCAAAGCTGGAAGAAGAAGAAGAAGAAGAGGATGGTCGCAGCGAGCAGGGTGATGAATCTCCGAGGGCTCCTCCGCACATTTAATACATCACAAGCATTTTTAATTCAGACGAAAGCACCTTCATACGTCATTCACTACCGCAATCAATGTAACGGCCACTATCAATTTTACTTTAACAAGAGTCAAGAAGGTTTTATGCAACTCCAATGAGCAATATATTTGCACCCTTGCTCTACGCACTCGAGGGCTAGATCTTGGCACGGCTCACGGCATCGAACGCATTCGGGATAGTAGTAGATCTTCCTGACGAAAGCGAGAGGATGTGGATGACCTTTATATGCATATTTGCTTCCGCCATTGATAAACGGGTACTTTCCGAAAACACACTCGATATGCATGGCATTGTCACAAATTTCACAATGATAAAACCATTTTTGTGGATCTCTTTCTTCTTCACAGATGTCACAGTATCGTCGTAGCGGATAGTCGTCGGGATCTTGATAAGCAAGTGTCAAAGAATGTCGATCACTCTTATGCCAAGCAACGCGTGGAATCGTAACGCATCTCGAATCCAAAGCGAAGGTGCAATCCTTGCACCTGTATTTGAAAGTAGACATTACATATTCACTACAAGCATTGCACTTCATTTCGTACTTGTGATCAAAGAAGAGGAAATGTGGCTCGTCTGCTTGATATGTAAAACTGTGAGGTACTACAGCACATCTAAGGCAGAAGCACCAAAAAGCATTCACTCTGTAGGAGAAACCACTGCCCATGTACTGACAATGAAAACATCTGAAAATACCATCTATGAAAAGATTGAACGGCTTTGCGTTAAACCATAGCCGGCACATCCTCCGCAATTCGGCACATTCCTTGTGCAGAAAGAAATCACAATGTGAACAATAGTAGAATGATGATAGGATAGGTAGCACGCAACCATTGCAGTATTTCTTATCCTTAATCTCATCTGAGAATATCAAGTTGTGCTCATGACTAACGTGTTCTATCTCTGCAGCTATTACATCGTCTCCGACTTTAATTTCCTTGATAACACGAATGATGGAACTCGTAGATTCTTCAGACAACGAATCGGATTCCTTGAATTCGTCTGGATTTTCAACCTCAACCACACCATATAATCCCCTGGTCTTAATGGAGCACTCGACATGGATAACAAAATCACAACCTGGCCGAGAGCAATAGTAACTCCCATGCTCGATGTTTACCTTTTTGTAACAGATCCTGCAATCCCAAGTTCTGGAATCATTGCGGTCGACACAAAGGAAAAAGCAATGGGAAATGGGATGGGGATGAAGATTGAGTCGAATGTGCCGTGGCAACGAAATGCAGTCCTTGTGAACTATAATGTTGCATGTAGAACAAATATATGAAACATAATTTCCCTGATTGCCACATGCATTACAGTCGAATGTATCATTTGGTTTTAACAACAAAGTGAAAGGGTGATCATGATGAGCTTTATCTTCGATAATTGGTGGTGGCCAAGCACATGTATAGTGCATGTAGAACTTGCAAGGGGCACAACGATAGAAAATTCCCAACCCAATATAGCCTTCGCATATGCTGCATTTAGAGAATTCTTCAGCAAAATCATTGAAAACCGGCAAGAGCTTGTGTTTACGGTGGCAAGGGTGATTGATTTCAGTGGGTGGTACTAGACATTTTTCATGGAAGAACTTTCTACAATCGAAACAAGCATACGAGGCATCATCTACTTCTATTGGATCTCTACAACCCTGGCAGTTAAAAGATCGAATCGGGTTAATGGAGATCAAAGGATGAGGGTGGGCAACATGGATTGTCTCGACCAAGTTTCCAACAGTGTCACGTGGAAGCAAAGCGCAGTTAAAGTCAAGGTAAAATCCACAAGAAGAACAATAATAGTTAAACCCCTTGACCTTTTTACGGCAAACGTCGCAAGAAACTCCTCTTTTCGGATGGTGGTATGTTGGAAGAAGAAGACGGTGGCGGTGAGCAGGGTGGTGGATCTCCGAGGGCGACTCTGCACATGTTTTATGGAGGTAAAACCGGCACTTCTCGCAGCCGTAGCTCGGACCCGTCACCTTTTCCGCACAGCCAGCGCAGTCGTGAGTGGCGTCGCTTGAACCGCCGGTGTCATCGTTGAATAGCAATGGATGATGATGACACCTGTGATGAAGCTCCTCCACCATGTTTCTCTTTTTTTTCCCGGTGTCGCTCCGCTGTTCCAAATTTTTATCACTTACAGTAGCAGCACTATGCTTGGCTTACATCTCTTGCAATGTCGCATTCGTTTAATCAAATAATGAGTGTCTTTACAGCTGTCCTCTGTTCCAAATAATGGATGGCTTAATATATGTTTTGGTCCGTTTATAGTTTAATTATTATTTGGGTAAAGTAGATAAATAGTCCCATACTATAAAGTACTGCTTTGTTAAATCCTTCAACTATTAATAATTATAAAATAATCTCTGACTATAAGGCGTTGCTTTGCTATGTGCTTCGCCTGTTAAGTTTCAAATGGTCACATAACTATTAATGTGATCCAAACTAGTAATTTTTCTTTAAAATTTTAATGATCGTCTGAGCTGGACGTTGACCTACTGATTGAGATATGATAAAATCATATTTTACTAATGTCTACTAGCGACATCGTTGCTTTCAAGTACTGGCTTGACGATATAATGTTATTTTTTTGAGTTCATCAACCATTAAAAGTTATAAAATGGTCAATCGACTATTAATTATGTTCCAAACCAGTCTTTTTCTGATAAAAAGTGACGGTTGTCTAAGTTGAAAGTTAACATGATAACTAGGATATGACAGTTGTTTGAAATTCTTGATCATATTTTATCATATCACAGTCAAAAAATTAACATTTTCCCAAAACATCGTCAATTTCTAACAGAAAAGGACGATGTTAGAATATAATGAATAGTCGGTGATCATTTTATAACTTTTAATAGTCGAGATTCAACAAAGCAACACTTTATAGTCGGAGGACCATTCTGTAACTTTTAATAGTCGATGGACTTAATAAAATAATACTATATAATCGGGAGACCATTTGTATATTTTACATCGTTAATTGAATACGCATGAAAGAGGTTCGTCAATATTGGAATAACAATTTGATTAAAACCCCGAAACCGAATGAAGCTGAAAACAATAACTAATGTGTAATGTGATTTATTCTGTACAGTGTACATAACATTTTGATTTTGATTCAGCTTCCACAAATTACTAACATCCATTTTAGATTTTTTTTTTATGTATTTTCTATTGAAAATATGTTTTTATCCCTTAAAATTTTATAAGATTAAATTCGCCCACAAATTAAAATCTTACATCCGTCTATGTGCCCTAATAATAATAATATTTATCCAAAATGAAAATAAGTTACTTGGAGAGATGAATGAATGAATCATTGGTTAGACTATGGTTGTAAATGGGACGAGACAAATCGCGAGTTACTCGAGATCGATTCGATCAAGGATTGATAAATACTCGGATCGAATGGACTCGAGCTCGAGCTCGAGCTCGACTTGAGTTATTAACGAGCCGAAAAGAGCTACTTGATATTCGACTCGAAAAGCTCGTGAGCTGCTCGAAAATATAATATATTAAGATTTTATTTTTTTTAAAAATAATTTATTAATAATATTAACATTTATGTATTGATTTTTTTAAATACAATAAGATTTTCATTATTTAATGTTCAGGTTCGAGTTTGAGGCTTCAATCGAGTTAAGTTTAAGATTTTTTTTTCTTCATTTCAAGCCTTTTCGAGATATTCACGAGCTTCAGTTTAGGATTTCGAGTTCGAATCGAGCTTGAAAATTTTAAGTTTTCGAGTCGAGCTCAGCAATACTCGAGCTCGACTCGGCTCGTTTACACCCCTAGGCCAGACACTGCAGCATTGTATGGGCCTTTCCACTGTTAGTAGCCGAACCCCTCATTGTATGGGCCTTTTCACTGTTAGTTTGTCCATATGCAACAACTGTACCTGCAACACAAGCAATTGAATTGAGAAACTATAAGGCGCATATCATTATAGAAACCAGATGAGCATGCACTGTCTAACAGGCATGAGACAGTTTTCCCCCACTTTCACCTGCAATTGAAGAGAAGGCCTTTCAAGAAAAAAAAATTCAACTAACTGAAAACTCTAGGGTAGGTGACTCCAATTACGGTACTGGAGGAAGGCACCTTAACATAGGGTGGCTCATGCTACTAATACTTGGAATGAGTACCTTTAAGCATGCAACCTAACCCAACCTAACACACAAGGCCTTAGCAAATTAATGTGACTGTGTTACCATGTTAAGCATATCCAAGAACCAATTGGCAATAGGTGACTGCAATACCACAGCAAACTGTAAGTCTGTAACCTTAGCCAACATGGGATAACACCACAACCACTAGATATCTCTCTCCAGTACCAAACTAAGAGGCCATAGATAGCTCAAAGAGAATGCAGTAGATTCTTGAGAACTGGATTCAAGCTGAGTTGTTAATGCCAATATTCCAATAGGCCCTAGTAAAAACAAGAAGCCTTTCCCACTAGAGAGTGAAACAACCTACCCATCGCCGTATACAATACCTCCATTCCCATAATAGCCAAACGATGCGTTTGGAAACCAAATTTGGAATAGAATTTCATCACAATTCTTGTTGGAGAGTAACTTTTAAACAAAAATGGAGATAATATAATCAAGGGTAAACTACTCATTTATTGACTAAACTATCAGTTTTGGCCCGTTTTAGTACCTAAACTTTCTATTTTTTTTCAAAATCATACCTAATGTTTAGTTTTTGTTTTATTTTAGTACCCACTATTAAAAACTTAGCGTGTTTGGTCTGTTTTAGTACCTAAATGTTCGAATTTTTCAAAATTGAACGTTAAATTTTGAACAGAGTGCTAAAATGAAACAAAAATTAAACTTTAGATATGGTTTTGAAAAAATCGAAAGTTTAGGTACTAAAACGGACCAAAACTAATAGTTTAAGTACTAAACATGTAATTTACCCTATAATCAAATTAATTGAATGGTACCATTGAATCCACGAACTACTGCCGCCACAAAATCTTTAAACAGGTAATCCACTATATTATATCATGACACGTGTCATCATATAATTAGAAGATTAAATATATTGAATTAATTTAAAATTAAGATTAATTTGATAGATTGTGTAAGTAATAAAGACTAAATGTAAATTATACTAATTTTATTAACTACCACGTTAGCACTCCCTTTAATTGTTAACAGCTAGTGGCCTGATTGAATTCATTTAAATAGTTGAATCGTCTGGTTGATAAGAATTCAAAAATGGTGATCAAAATAAAAAGAAGCTATAGTTGGGTGACCACTTATATAGTTTACCCAAATTACAATAATTTCTTACGTTTTTATATTTGGCCTAATAATGAATTCCATCCCTCTATTTTAGAAAAAAATATAAGTTAATCCATCTATTTTAATTTATTATGGTAACTTATCCTTGTACCTAATAAGATTTGAAGTTAAAATCATGAACTTCAACCTATTAGTAGCATGTAAATTTTCTAATTTTATTAATTATTTACACATAAATTATTAAATTTTTTATATACGATTTTTATCTCGTATAAATTTTATAATATATATATTAAAAGAAAAATAATACTAGAGGAAGATTCAGAATATTAGAATATAAAGAGAAACAAAGTTATACTTTTTTCAAACTAAACTTAAATTACAATCCTTTCGTTTTAGTCTTTTTTTTTTCTTTTTGTTGTCTTCCCGATTCTAAAGTTTTGCTTTAACTAATCCAGACCGACCCACGTCGCACACTTGACTTTGGTGGGTGAGTCTCCTAGCAGAGATTTTCTGTATACATAAGGACTCGAACTCAAGACCTAAAAAAATACACTCCAACAACAAAAACTAAAAATAACAAGAGAATAAAATATTGACATATGCACCAACAACATGTTGATCTACTGAGACGAGACACTAGATCCCTTAAGCAAAGTCATGTGTTCGAATTCTTACGATTGTGAATAAAGCAAACTAGGTTGGGAGGGTCGTTCTTGCCTCTGCAGTACTCGATTCGGATTAATTGATCAACAAATCGGACACTGGTGATTATACCAAAAATATTATACATATATTTTAATAAAAAAAAAACTTTAAACATCCACATAATATTTTTTCAACATAATATCCTAATTAGCTCATACATAAGGTATGTATAGCCTTAAAATCTATCCTTTTTTCACACACTTAGTTCCAAGCATTGATGATGATCCTCCCTACACCTGGACTCCTATCCTCTGGGCAACCTGCCATATAATTTAAGGGTAAGATTAAAATTATAAATTGAAAATGAAAAAAATAGATTTATTTAAAAATTAGATTATTAGTTCAATTCAATGGCTTTAATTATTGATTTAGGTTAATGATATCGAATTGAATAGATTTGATTCGATCCGATCCGATCCAATTCATGAACATATATAAGGGATTAGAGAGTTGGAGAGAAACCTCTTTAAAAGAGTGAACATCGGAACCCCAGAGCCAAGCATCACAACCGGCGTCTCTGGCACCCCACACATCATTCCTACGGTCATCCCCTACATGAACCGCCTCCTCTGGTTTTATCCCCAACAGCTCACATGCTTTTACAAATATTGTTGGATTTGGCTTCTCTGCTTCCACCTGCCATTGTTGCAACATCTTACAAACTCTAGCCATTAATGATATTTACATATAGAGACTTACTTCGTATTGGTATAACCCGAAACTAATTCGACTCACCCAATTCACAGTTCTACAATCAGGGATGGATTGAAGGGTAGTGGCCCCTTGAAAATTTAAAATGATCATATATTTTAGATTTTTTCTATATATTTTTGCCCCTAAAATTTTATAAGTTTAAGTTTGTCCTCCTGAAATTTTAAAAGTTTAAATTTGTCCCCCTACATAAAATCCTATGTCTGTACCGTCTATAACCGCATCAACCTGGTGTAAAGAGAGAGAGAGAGAGCTTACTTCAGCTGACACTGCAATAGCATCGAACCAGTGTTCGCAATTCAGTGCCCTCAACAACGGTCTCAACCGAGTGTCAAAATTCGAGACGACGGCTAACTTCACACCAGCTTTTCTAAGAGCCTCGAACACTTTCTCAGCCTCCGGATCACACAGATGCCAAGCCTTTACAAAAGCAAATAAGAGGTAAAATATACATATTATCTTCATAAACAGGATGGATCGAGAGGTGGTAGGATACAGTCTCAAATCTTCAAGAATTCGGTTATTTTCTTTGTATTTTCTATTGATGGTCTAACTTCACACCCTCTAAATCTTTATTTTAACCTCTTAAATCTATACCTCTTAGAATAAAATCTTACGTCTGTCCATGCTCATTAATCTATTTAATACAAATTATGAACACTAATTAGAAGTTAAACCCACCTCGTTGGTGGTGTAGTAGTTATAAACTTCTTCGAAATACTGAGAATCTGAGCAGCCTGTGGAAGAACTCACTATATATTGCCAAAAGGGTCTCCCATCATTCACATATCTGCAATAAATGAAAACTATGTTACTCGGATGCTTTAAGTGGTAAAGCATTTCATGTAAAAATATAAATTCTTATTCGATAAATTATTACATACGAAATGATAAAACTAATTCAGATTGAGGGCCCCAGTTTGGGGTGAAACTGGATTATTCGAAAGTTTGACGACTAATTTAGAATGAGAATCATAGTTTAAGGATGAAATTGAGATATTCAAAAGTTTAAAGACTAATTTAAAATAAAGATCATAATTTGAGAACATGTAATGCAATTAACTATGAACCCAATAAAGAAGTTAATTCATGGAACGGTTTTAGTTAGTGATTCCAAGTGATCACATAATTAAAAAAGACCAACCTTCTATTGGTTTAATCACTAATTAATGACTTACCATAAACACTTCGATAAAGAAACTTTAACACTAATTATGTGTTGTATAATAAAGACAAGAATGATAAAGAAATAGAATACACAAATGGTCATCCGACTATAAGATATTGTTTTATTAGGTCTCTTGACTATTAAAAATTACAAAATGGTCTTATGACTATAGAATGTTACTTTGTTGAGTCCCTCGACTATTAAAAGTTACAAAATGGTCACTCGAGTATTCATTATGTTCCAAACTCATCCTTTTCCGTTAAAAATTAACGGTATTCTAAGCTAAACGTTAACCTGCTGACCGTGATATTATAAAATATGATATTGGAATCTCAAATGACAATCATATCTCAAGCATAATGTTCACATTCAGCTTAGATAAACGCTAATTTTTTTAATGGAAAAGGATGAGTTTGAAACATAATGAATAGTCGGGTGACCATTTTGTAACTTTTAATAGTTGAAAGACTTAACAAAGTAAAATTCTATAGTCAGATGATCATTTTGTAACTTTTAATACTCGATGGACTTAATAAAGTAATATTCTATAGTTGAGTGACCGTTAGTGTACTTTACCCAAAGAAATAATACCTGAGACGAGATTTACCCCAAGGCTGAGCATATGCCCTTCGATATCTGTTCAATATCTCAGCTTCAGAGTACTGCACCCCATATTTCTCCCCTATCTCTCTATAAATCTACACCCAAAAATAGAAAAATTAAACCATTGTACATAAGTTTCAATGAAAACCCAAGTTGAAAACTAAAAATTTCATAACTTTTAAGGATTACATTATGAATTTATCATTTTACGGGGGCTTAAATCCAATTTTATCATGTATAAAACTAATAATTGTTTAATTTCCAAAAAGTCTATATGCAATTTTATAACTATAGGGTGTGCCTATGGTAACATGCATAGATAATTAGATATGCTCTGGCATGAAATAAATATAATTTTATTGTTTTACGGGGGCCTATATTCAATTTTACCATGTATAAATTTACAAGTATTAGATTTCCAAATAAGTCAATATACAAATTTATCATTGTAGGGACTGCTTATGGCAACATGCATAGATAACTAGATATGCTCTGTCATGAATTAAATATGTTAAATTTTCATTTTTAGTCCCTTTATTATGTTTAAATTCAATATCGAGCCACTACACTATAATTTAATCCTCTACTTTTATATTAGGGTAAATTACGTATTTAGAATCTAAACTATCAATTTTGATCCGTTTTAGTATCTAAATTTTCAATTTTTTCAAAATTAAACCTAAAGTTTAGTAGTTCCCGCCATTAAAAATTTAGTTTTTTATTTCAATTTATTAATCCATTCAAAATTTAACATTAAAATTTGAATAGCGTTCGTTATCGCGTTTTCGGTTGCATCGCAATTATCACGGTTACGGACATAACGGATGTCATCGCGTCACTGCGGGTGTCACGATCGTTAATTTTTTAAAATTCGCACAATTTATTCTAAACCATAATAATTATAATTTTAAAGAGTCGTTTTTAACGATTTTTAGAATGTTTTCGAAAAGAATATATATATATATATATATATATATATATATATATATAGTTTAATCGAATAATAAACTTAGTGATAGGATAAGATAATTAATTAATAACATTGTAGATACATTATTATTTAAAAGAGATAAGATTATTAGGAAAAACTCTAAAAAAAATAAAATGGATAAAAATAAATTACCCATTATTATTCACCTACCAAAATCAACATATTATAACTTAAAACTCATAAAATTAAAAATAACACATTATTTATTTTAAAAAAAACCTATAACATTATAAGTAAAAAAATATATTAAATCCATAAAATAATTAACTTATTGGGTATGTTTTAGTCCAAACCCAAAACATTAAAAGTAAAAAATTAATTAACTTATTATTAGGTATGTTTTGGTCCAAACCCAAAACATTAAAAATAAAAAAATAATTATTTAAAACATAACTAAAAATTTATTAAATCCCTTCTTCTTTTACTTCTGATCATACATGAGTGAGAGGGAAGGCAGAAACGCAGAACAAATTTTGTGAAAAATAAAGGTTTTTTTGTTAAAATTCGCCCATTTTGTTCTTTAGTTTTTCATGTTATTAAACTTTCTTTGATTGCTAGCCTGATTCCTACCAAAAATACCTAAAAAAAACCTTACTTTGTCGTTGCATGTTACACCAAAAGAAAAGCAAGAATAAATACTTCTCCTCAAAGTGAAAGACTTTTTTCTGATTTTGTTTGATTTTGAGTCTAGACAATGAAATTTGAGAGGAAATCTAAAGTTTTATTTTGAATTTGCTGTTGATTTGGTGTAATGAAAAGTAACGGAAATAACAAGTTGTTTTCGTCGCGATCGACCGTTACCGTTAAGTTGTGGTCGTTATTTGTGTGATTCTCATGTCACACCTCTTTTTTGAACAATATCAATTTCGGACAGCAGCGCTACCGAGAAATAGCGACCGCAATAACGTTTTTATTCTGCTATTTGAAGCCATGGTTTAGGTACTATAACTGACCAAAATTGGTAGTTTAGGTGCTAAACGTGTTGAGTTTTTTAACTAAAAAGAAAACTAAATGTTAGGTATGATTTTGAAAAAATTAAAAGTTTAGATACTAAAATTGATAGTTTAAGTACTAAATGCATAATTTACCCTTTATATTATCATTTGTGACCATTCCGGTATAATACTAATGTGAAATTTTTCTTAGAAATTTCTCTTATAATTTATAATGTTACAGATTTTATACTACAAACTAGAACGAACAGAATTATATCAAACTATAGGATAGAAATTTAAATTTGAGCATAGTAGAAGGATTAGAACCATAATTTAACTGATTAAACATAGTCAAAACAAACAGAGTACCTGAGCCATGGGCTGAGAGGGAGCCAAGAGGGTGCCGGCAGCGTCAACAAGCACAGCCTTGTGAGTGATCTCTCCATAAAGTGACCGCCTATAATCCAAATATTCCTTCACTCCCAGCGGTTCAAATCCCATTGGATCCCTTAGAGCCGCCACCGCCGCGGCTGAGGAAGACGACGAGAAATCGCGGCTAATCGGCGGCGTTGGCGGCCGGGTGTAGCTATTGAAGTCGAAGCAGCCGATGAAACCCGGTCTAGGAGCCCGGTTCAGGAACCTACGCAACTCGGATCGTGCTGTGGCCATTAACGCCATTTTAAGAGCTTCTTCATCTAACTTTCTCCCGGTTTGTTTTTTGCGGGAAGCAGAGAGCTCTTAACAGAAGAATTGCGTAAAGGAGGCTCGAATGAAACGATACTGGAAGTGTTTTCGTGGTCTTCAGTTGTTTAAATGCATCTTCGATTCCGTTATATTTACTACTCTACCCTCCCTTCACATTTCTTCTAGTTCTTTTGTACAAAAGGTGTAATTTTAGCTTTCATTCTTGGGTAAATCACACATTTAGGACCTAAACTATTAGTTTTTGTCTTTTTAGTATATAAACTTTAATTTTTTTTAAAAATATACTTAACGTTTAGTTTTTATTTCATTTTAGTACCAAACAGTTAAAAATTTAATACGTTTAGTATCTAAACTTTCAATTTTTTTCAAGACTTAACGTTAAATTTTGAACATGGTACTAAAAATGTGTGGTTTACACTTCATTCTTTTACTTTACAAAACTGATACCTTAGTCCCTATTATTTATTCTTGGGTAAACTATACATTTATTGCCTAAACTATCAGTTTTGATCCGTTTTAGTATCTAAACTTTTAATTTTTTAAAATCATACCTAATGTTTAAGTTTCATTTCATTTTAGTACCATATCGTTAAAAACTTAACGCGTTTAGTACCTAAACTATCAGTTTTGGAGCATTTTAGTACATAAACTTTTATTTTTTTTAAAAACTTAACGTTAAATTTTGAACGAGATATTAAAATGAAACAAAAATTAAGGTTTTTAATTGTTGGTACCAAAATGAAACAAAAATTAAACTTTATGTATGATTAAAAAAAATAAGTACTAAAACGAACCAAAATTAATAGTTTAGAAACTAAACACGTAACTTACCTCTTATTCTTTTAAAAGGTATAGGAATCATATTGCATTAGCCGAAAATAACGTCAATGAGCACAATAGTGATGATGCATAGAATTGAACTGTTAGTTTTTTTTTAATTCTTTGTACATAAATTATTAAATTGTTAATTTTCAACATAACTATTTAACGATAAAATTTAGTAGTATTAGTTAATTATACTAACTTCCTAAATTTTATAAAATATGGGAATTAATTTAAAAAATAAAATATTTTTTCATTTTTTGTAAAATACTAAACATATATTTTAAATTCATAAAAAAATAAATTAAATATCTAAATATATCGAAATCTTATCCGGAAGATTTTTAATCCATATTTTAATGGAATAATTGAAAATAATGAACTCACATGTATCCATCCATGTGGAAGCAACGTATTTGTTTCGCGAATAAAACTAAAGAAATAAAGGTCTTCAATGTGAATGATTATTGTAATTATTATAAGTAAAGAAATATTTAATTATTTTTTTTTAAAAATGCTATTGGTCCACGATTTTATTTTATTATCAATAATTTATGTAATAAATATTAATAACGTAAGCATAAATGCATCACGTTGATTCCTTATCAGAACATTATCTAATAAACATTGTTTGTTTGGATATTTGGGTTAATAAGAAAAATAAAAGATACCAAGTATTAGTCGATTTAACATGACGATATATTAAGTTTAATAATTAAAATTATATTTTTCATATTTTGATATTTGAGATTAAGTAAAATAGATATAGGAGGGTGACATAAATTTCATTTTTATCATATTTTAGAGATAAATAAACTGAATATTAGTGACTAGGGATGGACCAAGGGACGTTGGAGGATGATCTCATCCTTGAAAATTTTAATTTCTCATATAAAAATATTAGTATTTAATAAACCGCTAATGTATAATTGTATGTATTATTAATAAATTAGATTATAATATTTAATAATAAAATTTTTAAATAAATTTTTAAATTTATTTTTAATAATTTGACAATAATGTATAGATATTCGTTTAAGCAAACAAAAATATTATAAAATTAGTTGCTTTCGTTTGTGTTCATAGTGATATTAACAATTTTAACTATAGATAATAATAAATATGTAATATATATGTTTATTATTTTTAATTTAATAATAATATATATATCGTAATATAAAAATAAGATATTAGACGTTTATAATTATTAAATTAATATTTTAAAACACACTCAAAAGATAACCTTAAATTAATGTTTTTCATAATGAAATAAGTATGTATACTTATATATATGTATCGATACCTACCGATAGCCAAAGTTTAACAGTTACCAAATTTTTTAATAATTCTTTATGTTTTTCACCTACAACATTATGAGCCTGACAACATTTTTCGTAGCGCTTTATCGAATTTGTTAATTATCTTATTAAATTTTCGGTCATGTCATTTATTAATTATATATTAGTTCGTCTTTCCTTAGGCAAACCCATATGAGCTGTGAAAGGTTGAAGTTGAGGTGTTTTCCATATGCGTAGCCGTTTCTTGTTTCTATATTGTGCAACATTTTTTTTTTCTCTTTATTTTTTACATAATACTTTGTATAGCTAGAATAATTATAAAATATTACTTTTAAATTTATTTTGTATACCATCAAATTAAATTTATTTAAAAAGAGTTAATTGGATCACATGTCTTTAAAGTATGACTCTCATTTTAAATTGGTCTCTAAAGTTTTAAATGTTCAAATTTCATCCGTAAGCTATGATAATAATTCTAAGTTAGTCCTTAAACTTTTGAACATTTCAATTTCATCCCCAAATTGTGACCTTCATTCTGATCGGTCCTCAAACTTTTTGAACATTCTAATTTCATCCCAAATTATACATCACATCCTTTGTTAATAAAATCGTCAAGCCAAGTTATGTTATTATATGTGTGGGGAAACAAAGAACTTAGGTTAAATTATGATTGAAACTAATTACATATTTGGATGAATTTTGGGATGAAATTAAAATATTTAAAAGTTTGGGGATCAATTTAGAAAGAATATTATAAGTTAGGGATGAAATTAGAATATTTAAAAGTTTAAGTATTAATTTAAAATAAGAGTCGTGGTTTGGGGATGAAATTGAAATATTTAAAATTTTAAGAACTAATTTAAAATGACAGTTATAATTTAAGAACATGTAATACAATTAACTCATTTAAAAATTGGATTTTTTGTTAAGAATAAGAACCCATATTTTAAATTGGTCTATGAACTTTAGATATTTTATATCAGTCCCTATATTATAATTTCATTATGAATTGATCTCTAAACTAGAAAACATTATTTCATTCTAAAATGATCCCTAGACTTAAAAGTATTATATAACTATCTTCAAATTGTCAGCGTCGTTCTATTTTGATCATTCTATTAACATAACGTCAACTCCACTGGTTAAAAAAATAATTTATTTTTAAAGGTATTGTGAATCGAACATGTTATCTTTTAGAAAAATTTAAATCTTCAAATACAAATTAAACTTATTTTAATCAATGAATAAGTAATGATATGAATTAAATTAATACTCAATTAAAAAATTGTCCTTGACCAACAACTGGTTGATATAGTGGGATGAAGCACAAGGTCCCTTAAGCAAGGTCGGTTAATAGATCGGATACCAGTGATTAATTCAAAATAAAAATTATCCTTATTTACTATTTAGTACTAATAATGAATGAGTAGCCTAACCATTCAACTTAGTATTGATCAATGATTAAAGTACAAGGTCCATGGATCTTATCTTATCTTAAGCATAGAATTTCGTATCATATTACATCAAATTTTCAATCAAGAAATTTAGACAAATAAGTTTGTCTGCCACGTTTTGCAAGTAAGTAGAGAAATGGAGGGCATTTTGGTTATTTGGCCACGAACGATCTCGTCCCAATCTAATGAGGAAGTGATGACGTGGCGTGCAAGCAGTGCATATATCATTAGGATCCACGTCCTACCATTATTATTAGGCTAAACTACACCGATACCACCAAACTTTAGGTGTTGTATTGTTTATACCATTGAACTTTTAATTTTACAAACTAAATCACTGAACTTTGATTTTCGTTTCAACTATACCACTGACATGTTACATCATTAACAGCCGGATCAAAACAACATCATTTTTATGAGGTGTCTATGTCAACAACGTCAGCCATGTCATCGTGTCATTAATGATTAACGATTCAGTGGTATAATTAAAATGAAAATCAAAGTTAAGTGTTATAATTGACAAAATTAAAAGTTAAGTGGTATAAATGATACGACACCTAAAACTCGGTGGTATTTGATGTAGTTTACCCTTATTAATTATTATTATTGTTGTTATTATTACTATAAAATACACAAATGGTCATTAAACTGAGTAAAAATTATCATTTTAGCTATTAAAGTTTTAAAAGTTATAGTGATCATTACATTTTATCGAATTATTACAAAATTATCATTAAAATTTATCAAATTAAACACACTCGAGTTTAAAATTGTCAAAATCGATAATGATCTTATCTGAAAATATGAATTTTGAATTTAAATGACTCGAACTTAAAATGACCCACTCTCAACTAACACGTGTACTTGCAATAATGGATTAAAATGAAATAATAGAAGAGAAAGTAAAGAGGAAAAAAGGTGACAACGATTTGAAGACCATGAAACCAAAGGGTGTGGGGACGAAAATAGAGCAAAAACGGTAACCACAAATTGCATTGATTTGCTTCTTTCTATTGGTTTTGAAATTGAAAGATTCAAATAGTCATTCACATCCACAAACCCCTTGGTCCCCCCCAATTCTTGGATTCCCTTTGAGTTTTAGGTACTCAATTTACTTGTTCAGATAGATACATAAGATATCCTCAAATTATGATCCTTATTTTAAAGGAATAATATCAAAAATAGCCCCAACATTTATTAAAACGATCATTTTGGTCTCTATTATTTTTTTTGGAGCATTCCCCCCAATGTTTCACTGAGGCAAAAAAACTCCCTCTATAGGTGAAAACCATTAGTTAACACACGGATATAGCTCAAAAATATGAGTTTTTAACCTAAAATGAAACTTTGAGGGCTAAAATGCTCGAGACAAAAGAATAAGGGACAAAATGATTATCCTGCAAAATGTTGGAGCCTTTTTGTCCTAAAAGAAATATTGAGGGGGAAATGCTCCAAAAAAATAAAATAGGAGCAAAATGATCATTTTGGTAAAGTTGGGGGGCTAATTTCGGCATTATGCCAATTTTAAAATAGTTTACATCAATCATTAAGCTATGATTTTATTCCAAATTTGTCTCTAAATTTTAAAACATAATATATTAGTCCTCACGCTATCCGTATCATTCTGTTTTGATCTTTATGTTAACGTGACGCTAACTATACTTACTTTTGAAAGTCCTGGAAATTGAACTTGTGACCTTCTAAAATAAATTTAATTTGTTTTTCTTGGAGGTCATGTGAAGTTTTTGAAAGGTCGTGACATAAAAAAAACGTAATATTTTTCGGGTAAAGTACACATTTATTATATCAATTATTGCTTTTACTTTATTTTGGTCACCAACTATTTCTCTCTCAAAATCTTACCTAACGTTATATTTAAGTTTCATTTTGGCCGTCCATCATTAAAATAATTAACAAAGATGTTGATAGGTAATGATCATTGATTTTTTTTAAATGTCACATCAATAGTGGGCGACCAAAAAGAATCCAAAATATAATGTTAGTTATTATTTTGAAAAAAAATAGTTGGATAACCAAAACAGAATAAATGTGATAGTTGAGGTATTAAACGAGAAGTTTACCCTATATTTTTTTAACTAGTAGAGTGAACATCACGTTAAAAGAATGATCAAAATGGAATGATAATAATAGTTTGCAAACTGAAATGAAATATTTTAAAGTTTAAGAATCGATTTAGAATGAGATCATAGTTGGGGATCGACCAATATATACTATTTAAAAGTTGAAGGACTAATTTGAAATTAGAGTCATGGTTTCGGGATATCATGTGTAATTATCTATTTACTTTCTTTGGGCCCTTTTGTTAAGCAAATAATACATTGATTGAGTTTGTGGTCCATTATATTAATTGTATACTTGAAATGGATCCATTTTTTAATTATTACACTAATGGTTTAATTGGTGCGATACTTTTTAGGTACAATAATTTAAGGAATTTTCACTTGAATATACGGTTTGGTTGGTTCAATTGTGTGTTTGGGACATAAAATTACAAACATGTCTTATGAAATTGTGTTATTTGTTTTGATTTGGCTTTTATGGTGATTGTGAAGTTTTAATGGTGAAGCCTGCAAAATAATGCACTTAAACTGAGTGGGGCATTGAAGTTGACATTTTGAATGTAGTGGAGTGAAGTTATTAGAGATTTTCATTTCTCTTTAGGGGTTATATAATATTAGCTGACCTTATTCTCATATGTAATGGGATAAGGGAAGGTAGGGTCCGTGAAAGACCTCCGACAATTATTAATTGATCATCGTAGGACTCGATCACAAGGTTAAGAGCCTTGCACTATACCAACTAAGTTGGACCGGCAATTCTCTCTTTTGCGTTATATAATCTTATGTTTATATGGCATGAAGACATTGTTTACGTGTCTTTTACCTTTTCTTTTGGTTTTATTATGCATATATATATATATATATATATATATAGTTAGCATCCACGTAATATAATTTTTTTTTATTTTTACACATATTATAACTTTTTTTATTTTTACACATATTTAAGATTAGGGATGGACACGAGCAATGGCGGATCCAGAAATATTTTGTAGGGTGGACACATATATATTAATAAAAAAAAGTTTTTGTACAAGGTGGACACAAATAAAATTTCAGGATATACACCTTCAGAAAAGTGAACAACTAACATAAAGAAATTCGGATTCCAGGGTGGGCTGGGTTCTAAATGCATCCGCCACTGGGCATAGACTCGAACCAGAAGGGTTCCAATCTGACCCGACCCGATCGGGTTGGTTTTTTCTAAAAATTGGGGTTCAAATCGGGCAAAGTCGGGTTTTTAGTGATTATGTTCAAGTCTAGTCGGGTTCGAGTTTAGGGTAAAAAATACCGTACCTGACCTGAAAAAATATATAATTTCACTTTATGTATTTAGAGATAACTACAATAATACCCATCTATATATTATTATTTTTAATTAAATCCCTATTTTTATTGAATAAATATAATATTTTTTAGTAAATATATTATTTCAAAACTTTTAATGGTTTTAATATTTTAGATTGTTTTAGTACCTAAAATTTTAATTTTTTTCAAAACTTAATGTTAAATTTTGAACGGGGTAACTAAAATGAAACAAAAACTGAAGTTTTTAACGACGATGCACTAAATTTTAAGTATAGTTTTGAAAAAATTAAAAGTTTATGTATTAAAAAAATCCGAAACTGATAGTTTAAGTACTAAACACATAATTTACCCTTTCTTATAATGTTAAAAAAATCCAAAGTATATAAACCAACCTTGGTGAGCCTTGTAATAGTCCTTAAAGTCTATCCAAAGAAAATGCCCAAGAAAATCTATTTTTGCTATATTGGGGTTTCTTCTCCAAACCCAATGGGCAAAATTTATGAAGCCCAAATGAATAATTCACTCTTTATTTATTTTCTTTTTTAAAGTTATTTTTTCTTCTTCATCAACATAACTCAAAGGTAGAGGTGGTAATCAGGTCATTCAGATCGAGTTCGAGTCGGGTCATTTCATATTGGGTCATTTCGGGTTATAATTGTATATCTGATTACGACGACAATTACGAGTTACTAAAAGTTCAACCAGATATCAGTTCAGATATCTGTTATATTCAGTTCAGATTCAGTTTGGTTCGGGTCAGATTGGGTTACGACGACAATTACAAGTTACTAAAAGTTCAACCAGATATCAGACGACGACAGTTACGACAATTTGACTTTGTCATAACTAATCCGGATCAATATTGTATGTCTTATTTTAGTAAATGAATCATCCGATGAGAGTTTTCTATATACAAAAAACCTTAAATTCGAGGCATGTTTTATGAGATTGTTGTTTGAGTTCGTTATGTCCTTATGTGTTGTTATGTCTCTACCTTTCTAAATAGTACTATCACAATTCACATGTATCACTTTAATAGGGTAATTTATACATGTAATACTTAAATTATTAATTTTGATATATTTTAGTATCTAAACTTTTAATTTTTTTAAATCATATATAATGTTTAATTTTTATTTCATTTTAGTGCCCATCATTAAAAATTTAATGCGTTTAATACCTAAACTATGTTTTGGTCTGTTTTAGTACCTAAACTTTTAATCTTTTTAAAACTTAACATTAAATTTTGAATGAGATACTAAAATGAAATAAAAACTAAACTTTAGATGATTTTGAAAAAAAATAAAAGTTTATATACTACACCGGATCAAAACTGATAGTTTATGTACTAAACACGTTAAATTTTTAATGATGAGTATTAAAATAAAATAAAAACTAAACGTTAAATATGATTTTGAAAAAAATTAAAAGTTTTTTCAAACTATTGGTACCGATATAAAATTTTCAAACTATTGAAATATTGCTATACTTCAAGGGTCATTGATGATATTATCCCCTTTATAATATCGAGATGCTTTAAACTTTATCTTTGAAGCGAGTGATTTGTCTATAAAAACAAAAAATTCTCCCATCACTATGCACTGGAATTTTATTTTTAATTATAAAAACAGTGAATTAAAATAATAAATAATCCATCACCTTTTCTGATCTTAATTGTGCTTTTTTTTCTTGTTCCTTTTTCCTCTGCTTTCTCATGTTACCAAGTTGGTACGAATCGGCTCGCGGCTCTTTAGGTCAGTTGAAAAATTTTCTCGAATAATTGTACAATCGTACGAACTTGATTCTTTTTGCATGCATCCGTGAATCGAAACGGAAATAATTCCTTACTTTTTGTGTGCTTCTCATGTGATTTTACTGTTTGTTTTGCAAAAGGATGAATAATTGTTGATTTTATTCTTCCTTTTTTATGACTATGCTGTTTCATCTTGATCGCTGCTTTAAGCTTGGATGCTAGGTGAAATTAGATATCTTTGAGGCAATTTCATATCTTGTTTTAATCGAATTTTGTGTTTGTTTGCATGATCAGGTAATCAAGTTTTTATTTATCGCTGCTTTAAACTTGGAGCTTTAGATGGAATTAGATAACTTTGAGGCAATTTAGTCTCTTGTGTTTGCATGATCAAATGATCAAGTTGTTGAAGATTCTGTAACTATGTTGTTTTATGTTGATCACTGCTTCAAACTTTTAGCTTTAGGTGAAGTTAGATAACTTTGCGGCAATTTAATATCTTGCTTTACTTCAAGGCAATTTAATACTTGTGTTTGCCTGTGAAGTTTTTTCTCCTTAATTTTATAAAATTACTGTTAAATTATTGATGAAAATTGAACAAGAGCCTATATTATAGGGATATTAATTTTTTTATTCTTGAATATTTGCATTTTGTGTTTGGTTTCAAATCGTGTACATTTTTGGGCTCTTGTTTTGGTAATCTTGCGTAGATAATTTATAATTACTGGTATATTTGTGTTAGGTTAATATCTTCGTTTGGAATTTTGAATAAAAGATGTCTACTGGACCAGGTAGAAGGGTTTCGCGGCAAGATATACAACTGGTAAGATGTTGACCTTGATCCTTGACAGTTTTTTTTTATTACATTGGGTATTGGACCCAGGATATGGGGGATGCGAACATGAACCCCCTGGCCACTACCGGGGGTTCATCCTTAGAGAGTTACAGTTAATGAGCGATCATGTATAAAAAACTGTATGCTTATGCATTAATTTTGTCGTGTATAAATTTAAGTATTATATATGTCGTTATCTTGTTTCCTTTAAACTTAAATGTCTTGCTAAAGTTATTACTTTATAATGGGCAGATGGAGGGAGTTTATTATGTGGGTTTTGTGCTATATTGTAGATGTGTTTGTTTTGTTGGTAGTTCACATTTTTGCAGAAGTTCTAATGTTTCTAAGAACTTGAAATTTTGAAGCTGTATATAGGAATGAACTATTTGCTGTAAATAATGTGAAGCAGAAAAATATATGTTTGGTATGTTAATAAAGTGTATTTAATAGCAAAATCCTTTCATACCATGAAGAGGATAGATACAAAAGATAAAGGAAGGAGGAGCGGATAAAGGCGAAACAGCACAAACTGCATTAATTCCTATTTGTTCCTGTAGCACAATTAAGATGCATATCTAATGTGCCATTAGTTCTATGTGGCCGGCTGCTATTCATCTGTTTTTTGTGTGTGTTCCATAAGGGGATTCTACCGACTTAGATTTGTTTGGCATGCATGGTCTGAAAGGTAGCATGATGTCCACAGTGGCTAAAGGTGTTTTGGCTCTTATATCAGTTATATGTGTGATTTCAGGTGCAAAATCTTATAGAACGATGTCTTCAACTCTACATGACGCAGAAGGAAGTTAAGGACACTCTGCTGGCTCAGGCCAAAATTGAGCCTGGTTTTACCGAACTTGGTAAGTATCAGTTCATATATTTTATTTTATCACAACATCCATGCTCATTCCTGACTGTCTGTCCTTATGAAACACCCCTAATCTGATAGCGCTATGTTATAAATCACATGTTTAGAAAATTTATAAGAAAAGATGTACTAAAGCGATGCTCAGGCTTTGTGTTCCATCTGCTGATTCTTACAAAAAATAAAGAACGTAGGTTCCACTACATAGGAGCAGGGATGTCAATATGGTACCCATTTCTCACATGTTTTGGCTTCCCCTTTCGATGCAAAATCTGTTTTAGGGGAAGCGGATATAGACTGGACAGTTGAACCCTCTCCCTCCCCCTTCCCCAAAAAAGTAGCACCCGTAACATTAACTTAGTGTTGGGTATGGATTGCTGTGTTGGTCAACAGGTATATTGTTTCAGATCATGACTTCATGAGGTTTTTCAATAGCTTTTGATCGTTATATAACATCAGCCTTTTTATTCCTTTCACGAATATCTCATGCTTGTCAGTTTGGCAAAAGCTTGAAGAAGAGAATAGAGAATTTTTCCAAGCTTATTATCTGAGACTGATGGTTAAGCAACAAATAATGGAATTCAACAAGCTGCTTGAGCAACAGGTGCGATTGATGGATCAAATTCATTCAACTGGAGTATCCTCAATCTCTAATTCTAATGGACCTCAAATGCCATTGAGTAAGATTGATTTTTGCCCCACTGGACTTTTATTGACATTTTTGTTTAATTGCACAAGCATGCTCCAAATTTGTTGAATTAGCACTTTCTTTGTACGCTATTTATTCTGTTGAGATTTTATTTGTTAAACAATCGTTTTACACTTTTCTAGAAGCAAAGATTGATGGTAGTTTTCTTTTGCATTTTTTATGTTGGTATAACTAGGAAGACAAATAAAGAGAGAAGAAATAAGGACCCTTCTTCATTAACTCTCAACTTGAGTGTTGACAATACAAGTGAAGACTTTAATTTAGCTTCCTTTGTATCAGTAACTATGTGGAATTTGGATATAGGCAGGAGTAGACATCAGGGCGATTACTTCTTATGCATTTATTTGTCCATATCCACTTTTGATAAAAGAGCTGGAAAATTTCTTATTTTTGCACACCTTCGGTTCTCAATCTGTTACATTTTCTTTCTTTACTGGCTCTCGAACCCTGTCGAAGTTAAAGTGAAAAGCACCTAACCATTGAGGGAAAGAGGAGAACCATTTGTTTTTACACACCGTGCTTTTGTCTATTAAGTTCCCAAATCTTCTTTTATCCTTGCATTTTTTTCATTGATTTTTGAGCATGCATCAATCCGTTATAGATACCAGATGTGGCTGTTGGTATAATAGTTACTACTATCAATAATTATTGCATTTTTGTAGGTTTAGTTGCTGTTGATCTGAGAACCAAGCCTGTTTTGTCCAATTTCAATTTTTTTGCAACTGATTAGCTTTCTCTTACAGTGCCTCAGAACTCGTCCTGTTATACCCTAGAGAACACTGTGCCAACTTTGAAACAGGAGGACATGCACCATCCCATGGGATCTAGTTTGCCTAATGTATTCACTAATGGTAGTTCGTCGTTACATGCGGGGATTCACACTCCTATTGATCTGCCTACCCATGCCAGCAGGATTGATGCCCCGCCAGGTATGCTTTCAAGTCAGAATTCAAACATGGGTCTGATGCAAGGAATAAATGGGAAAATGATAAAACCAGAAGCTGGTTATTCGGCCAGTTCTGCTTACATGTTTGGTGCCGAGAGCAATGTTCTGGAGGCACGCCCAACAATTGGGGATACTTCTTTCAGTACTGTAGAATCAAGCACTCAACCTCTGAATGAACCAGTTCTTGATGCCGACATTTCTTCATTTGGGTTTTTAGGCCAGATCCCTCGCAATTTCAGTCTTTCAGATCTCACAGCTGATTTTTCTCAGAGCTCAGGTCTTTCGCTCTGTCAGTTTGTGTCGGCACATGCATGTTCCCCATCCTGAATATTTGTCTGCATGCAAGCATGTTTTTTTGCATCCATATCTTGGTTTCTCATCTATTTTAAATCTAGCTATTTAAAATATATCTCCCGTGCATAGTCATTTGTTTTGGCCTAGTTAGCACTAGTTAATTTCGTATATGAATATCTTAACATTCTAAGAATAAGCTCTTAATGATATCCGCTATACTTTATTTTAGACTAACCTCATTATAATTTCAGATATACTGGAGAGCTACCCCCGATCACCTTTTTTAGCAACTGATAATGAAATTTTCCTTGATTCTCGTGAAAGAGAGCATCAAGGTGAACATCGTTACTCCTGTCTCTCAATCGACAGATTTATATTTCGAGTTTTGTTGGTTCTGATATATGAAGAGCATGGCGTTTTTTGTCTTTGGTTTGTAGGAGACAACAAAAGGTTGGACACCATATCAGAGGGATTGAGTTATGAAGGATTTAGAAATGAATAGCCCTACAGAATTAATGGTATTTCTCTACATATATAATTACTTTATATTTTTATTTATCTGCTGTGTTAGCAACTGTTTCGGAATTTACTCGCCCATTCTTTTGGAACAAGTTTTTGCAACCGTTACGGTTAAGAACTGCCATTGTTATGTGTTTTCTTGGTTCCATTTCTTTTGTCGATAGATCTTTGGTTCAAGCCATGAATATTTTCGGTTAAATATTTCTACCAACTATTACAATTTTTATTTTATCCGGTTGAAAACAGTCGCTTACGGTGCCATATCGTGCAACGCTTTACTGCAGGTACAAATGGCTCCCCTATGTAATAAAAGGGATCTTGTATATATAGCATTTTAGAAGTGAACAACTCGACTGCTTTGATTGATGGATAGAAAGAAGTTAACTGACATCATCGGTACTAGCATGGCTCGGAGAGGGGAAACGAGTTCAAATGAAACTTACAGTTTTTCTTTCGGTGCCAACAGGAGTCCGTGGAAGCGACCGCTTTGCCTTGGAATCTGTTGGCACTCTAGTTGTGTGTCATTTGCCTTCGGGATGGTTTTATCAAACAGGTAATCTGGGAATTTACATTTTGTTTACCATATAACTTATATGTGTGTGTGTGTTTTATTGGGAATCTTCCAAAATGATTTGTGTGGTGTTTACTGTAAGTTTGTGAACCAATATGCAGAAATAGGAATACAAGACGCTTTTATGGTATGGCTTTATATATGTGGTCAAAATATGACGCTAGTCCCTGTGCTTTGATTGAGTTTCAGATTCAGTCCCTATACTTCAAAAGGTTAAAAAAATTAAACCCTTTTCATCGGTTTAAAAGTTCTAATTCAATCGTTGACACTCTTAGTAATTGTTAAAATGTTTCACTTTGGGTGTTGGTATGATTGTTTTGGTGTATTGCTTATTGATAGAAAATTTAAAAGGAAAATACTAACGGAATTTCAATAGAAAATACATAAAAAAATTAAAATATATGATAATTTTAAATTTTCAAGACGACGATTATCTCCACTTGCCCTCTTTCGATCCATCCCTGTATGAATAGAATCTTCGACTAGACCGCGATTTCGACGGATACTTGGAAAAATATTTGGTCAGACTTCGAGTCGCATGGATGCAAGGAAGTCATTCCCATCCTCGATTTCAACTAATATACGGACAGTATTCTTGGTTAGACCCCATGGGACATAAGCCGATCATGTTTAGGAGATATTTATATCTCTTAATTAAAATTAATTATAATTATAATTATAAATAGGGTAAATTACGTGTTTAGTATTTAAACTATCACTTTTGGATCATTTTAATACATATACTTTCATTTTTTTAAAATCATATTTAATGTTTAGTTTTTGTTTTATTTTAGTACTCATGTTCAAAATTTAATGTTAATTTTTTATTTTTGTTTGAAAATTTAGGTACTAAAATGGACCAAGACTGATAGTTTATATACTAAACATGTTAAGTTTTTAACGGTGGGGCATTAAAATGAAACAAAAATTAAATGTTAGGTATGATTTTGAAAAAATTAAAAGTTTAAATACTAAAATTGATAGTTTATGTACTAAAAGTAATTTACCCTTACAATTATGGACTGAATTTTGATCGTCGCCAAAGGTGTTAGACAAATCCAACCATATAAAACATTGGTCAGCAATTAAATCTACTTGTTTCAACGAGCTTACTCATTGCACCACAAGGATAAAGTATTACTTCAAAATCCATCAATAATGTCCAAAAGTATAAAAAGACAATTAAAGTTGGATTATATATATATATAATGATTAAAAAAATAATTACAACTTAATAATTCGATATATTTCCAGTCTCACTATATTATTATTGAATTTCAGTATTATCGTTAAGAGGGTCCATGGAATTATGCTTCTAACAACACAATTATACAACATTTTCTTCTCAATGAACAGTTGGATATTTGTCGGATAAATTACATGTTTAATATATAAACTATCAATTTTGATCCGTTTTAGTACTTATAAATTTCATTTTTTCAAAATAATACCTAAAGTTTAGTTTTTGTTTCATTTTAGTATCTGTCGTTAAAAACTTTAGTTTTGTTTCATTTTAGTACCCGTTCAAAATTTAATGTTAAGTTTTGAAAAGAATTGAAAGTTTAGGTACTAAAATAGATTAAAACTGATAGATTAGGTACTAAATGTGTTAAGTTTTTAACGAGGTTCTATGAAATGGAAACTAAACGTTAGATATAATTTTGATAAAAATTGAAAGTTTATGTATTAAAATGGATCAAAACTGTTAATTTAAGTATTAAATGCGTAGTTCACACTATATTTTACATAATTTATCTTACACATCTCGTAATTTTAATTGAAAGAATATGGATTTTCATTCCAATTACAAAGTTCACGACTTTCCTTTTAGGAGTAATATTCAACAAGATTCAATTCTGTAGGGATCACTACAAAATTATATCATAACTCAAGGATCTTTTGTGAATTAATCCAATTAGTTTTAACCTAACCCTTTCTTTTTCCCCTAATAACACAGGCATCATCAGCATACCGTTATCATCTTCCAAAACGCGAGCCGACTCTTTTCCTTTTCCCGAATCAGCATTTCTTTTGTTCTCTAATTGTAGGTAAATCGAAGCGAATTTCACCATCCCATAATTTAGGGCTTCTTTGGGGGAAAAGAGAACTTCTTTAAAACAAATCACTTTGTTCTAAACAATTTTCTTTGAATTATTTCTTTGTTTTTCACTGCAATCATGGCGGACGACGAAGTGAAGGATGAGATCCCGGAAGTAAGCCCCTTTTATTTTAGGTTTCTCCCCCTTTTTTTGTGTAATGAATTCACGTAGAAGATTATACTTGTTCGGTTTTAGATAATTTTCTCATATATTGATTCATTTATTTATTTTTGCTTGACGTCTTTGCTTCAGCTTACATCATTCGATCCTACTAAAAAGAAGAAGAAGAAGAAGGTTGTGATTCAGGACACTGCTGATGAGTCTGTCGATAATTTAGCCGAGAAAACTGAATCCTTGTCGGGTATTTTCTCCAACTATTCATGCATATATATATATATATATTTGTGTATACTACATAGAAGTAAAAATATTAAATAATAGGAACGGGAGACAAAGGGTAAGGAACGGGAGACAAAGGGTAAAAGGCAAATGATGGAAGTATGAACTTGTTGGAGTCATATTAAATGTGCTATATGTTTTGTTAGGAGGCTTATTATTTATTTTTCTTTGCTTACAAGTTTCTGAAGGGCTTGACTTCAGCACCATGAAAAAGAAGAAGAAGAAGCAAGTGAGTTTATAGCTTTAAATTAATAGATATGTTGTTTTTTTTTCTTTCGATTAACTAATCTGATCTTGTGCACTTTAATATTGTAGGTAGAGACCAGCACATTCGATGAGGAAGGTGGGGATGCTGGAGATGATTTGGATGGTAAGATTTTCTTTCATTAAATGGATGCCGCGGGTCTTGTCATGAAATCTGTAATTAATTTGTTGTTACGTCTTTTTACTACTTAACAAGGTCGTATAGATGGGGATGAAGAAGGTGATGATATTCCCTCGCGACCACGCAATCCCTGGGAAGAAAGTGACCGTGATTACATATATGAGGAGGTATAATGTGTATCCCTCTGTGTTGTTGATATTGCATGATTTATCTTGTTAATTATTGATTGGATTTTCGTGGATTTATTTTGATAATGCACCTATGAACTTTACTAGGTGGAATGTTAAATTTCAAATAAGGTTTTTGAATTTCACCATTCCCAGTGATCCGTTTTGGAGGATGTTTTTATGTTTCTCTAGGACCGCTGATTGAATGGCTGTCTTTGTATCTTCACAAATCTGGAGAGATTGGTCTCGATCTTATTTGGCTTGAAGTTGTAATTAGTGGCTAGTAGAGCTCCAAGGGGATTGACTATTCACTTGTAACAGCATACCTGAAAATTATCGAGTCTATATGCTATTTCTTCTGTTTTACCGTTGATTCAATCTTCATTTGATGGGATGAACGCAGCTTCTTGGTCGAGTGTTCAACATTCTCAAGGAGAACAACCCTGAGCTTGCCGGAGATAGGCGTAGAACTGTTATGAGGCCTCCACAAGTTCTTCGTGAAGGAACCAAGAAAACTGTTTTTGTGAATTTCATGGATCTATGCAAGACGTATGTTACTGTCCTTTTTCCTGTTTTCTGTACACTTGTTACACAGAATTTGTTGCTGTTTGGGATGGCTGAGGATGACATATATCCTTTAAGGCCATTTTAGATTTTGGTTTTTTTTATATTTATTCTATAAAAATATATTGCTTGTTGTCATTACAACAGTCTTTGACTTGGGAGTTAATGAGATTTGGGATTTATGGTTAAGTTTACTATTTAATGTTGTTCTATTTGCAAATGAGTTTCATACGGACACCACATCTTTTCTAACGAATTCTTGCCTGTACAATCATTTAGAATGCATCGACAACCAGATCATGTTATGGCCTTCTTGCTTGCTGAGTTGGGGACAAGTGGATCACTTGATGGGCAGCAAAGGCTGGTTGTGAAGGGAAGGTTTGCACCCAAAAATTTTGAAGGGATCCTAAGGCGTTACATCAGTAAGTGCCCCTTTTTGTCATTGTAACTTGTATTGAGATGATAAAGAACGTAAACTCTAAGCAGGAAATATTTTGGACTGACTGGTAAATTCGGTTTCCACTTTACAGATGAGTATGTCATTTGCCTTGGATGCAAAAGTCCAGATACGATTCTCTCGAAGGAGAATCGTCTTTTCTTTCTCAGATGCGAAAAGGTAACATTGTTACATTCTTCTCCAGACCCTTCTTAGATTGGCATGCTATTAGCCCGGCTTGGGTGCTTATATATCTAGAGCTGTTTTCTTCCCCATTTTTTATTGATTTGGTGGTGGTACGAATTGGGTGTGGTGGAACAACCAACTTCGTCTTCTCAGAATGTTAAATATGCATGTAGTCTGTATATAGCTTTGATTCGAATAATCTAACTAGCAGTTCATCTTTGCTTTTAGAGGCTTATGATGATTAAAATTGATTACATTGTCAGATCTTCTCTCTGATGATATGAAAATAACAAATCTAAGGCCTGGAATTGCTTGTGATCACTTGAAAACTTATTTGTGACTGTAGACGTTATTATGTCTCATAAATGTTATGCTTATTTTCAAGTTAAATGGAGTTGATAGCCATTCCTATTCTAGCAGTTGCATTAATGCACGTCTTTCCACCACTATGATGTCCTCTTTCTCCGAAGAGGGCTTATAATGTTCGAAAACTGCCTACATTGTCATATAGTTTTGTGAATGATAAACTGCTCGTTCTGAAGCTCCCATGTCGGCTTTCTAATGTTTGCTTAGATTTTGAGTTGATTGAAGGCCTTGTATTACCTGTTCACCGCATACTGTTAACTAAATTGTCTCGGTCTTTGTAGTGTGGGTCTGGACGATCAGTTGCTCCAATTAAAGCTGGTTTCGTTGCTCGTGTTGGCCGTAGAAATGCTGGCACTTAGGCTTCACGATTCGGCCTAAAACGATAGTCGGGGGCGAGAATGTAGGAACACCGGGTTTTGGTACTCCTAATGTTGTGATTTTGAGCGGTACTAAAAAAGATTGTTTTTTGAGACTAGCAATTTCCTTGATCAACTTTTGGTCATACTGGAATATATCATCGGCTAGTTTTATTATGATATTTATTTAACGAGGAACACACACATTCGTCCAAGTAAATTATTTAACTTTTTTTCAACTTTGATCCTTTTATTTTAAACAAATATATGTATTTGTACACTATTTTATTAATTCAAACCTTTTTTTGAAAAATGTTGTTAGTCAAGGTCTCATTTCTTAGCGATTGGTAATGACAAGTTTTAACTAAATTTGCAGGCGAGGCAAATCAGATCTTATTTTGGGTAAACTTTAGTGTAGGGACGGGAATGGGACTCGAACCCGACGGGTTCCAACCTTATCAGGTCGGGTTGTTTTAAAATTTTGGGTTTGGGTCAGTTTGAATTTTTTAAAGGTGATGTTCAGATCGGATTTAGATTTAGGGTGAAAAATATCTGACCCGACTCCAAAAAAAATAATTTTATCTTATATATTTAAGAATAATTACAATAATATCTCTATATATTATTTTTTTCAATTAAATCATTATTTTTATTGAATAAAAATAATATTTTTATTATTATTTTGTGTCGGGTTAGGTTTAGATTTTATCTCAAAAAGTCGAGTTCGGATTGAATGGAAGGTATATATTTTTTAGGTATGATCAGATGAATGGTGTAAAATTTTCAGGTTGAGTCGAGTGGGATGAAATCCGACCCATGCCCATCTGTGTTAGACAATATTCGTATTGAATTAGAATTTACTCGACATAGCGTTAAATTGTGCTCTCTTATATATGTCAAATAATAACACGTACAAATAATTTTATCATTTTTATTATTTTACATATGGTCGAATTTTACAACGTAAGACACAATTAATGGGACAAGTAATAAATTGGTTAAAACAGAACACAACACGACAAAGGCAAAAACAGTTTGAATATTTTTGTCAAATAAATAAAATTGAATATTTTAATTGATTTTTTCAAAATCATTAATAAAAGAACCAAAGAAAATTCATAAAAATTACGAAAAATAAAATACTGTTACAACTAAATTTTGTTGTATGGAATTGAATACTTAATAATACAGCTCTGTTCATAAACCATACATATATATATATATATATGTCTAACCAAATCCAATTCTCTGTCTGCATGCCATACGAACACCTTCGCCCATTAACAAAGTGAAGAGACCTTTGGAGAATTCATATGAAAGTATTGTACAAGAGACTATAGAACCTTAGATGTTACAAACAAGCATTAAAAACAAATTCAACTCCTATTCAACCACTCAAATATTTGGAGCTGAATAATTTTCATTGTTCTACCTGCAAATTGGGGAATATTTCATTATATGTATGTATGTAAACATGCATGCATGTGCATATAGTGTATGTAAAAGAAATTAAAGTAAATTATGCCTAGGGATAGGCGCATGGCTCAAACCCAACGGATTCAGATCCCATCTGATCCGTTTGAGTTTCTTTTCTTTAAAAAAAAAATTAGATTCAAATTTAAAATGAAAAATATCTTATCCAGAAAAAATAATGCAATTATATATTATATATATTTAGATATAATTGTAATAATACCTCTCTGTATATTAATTTTTTTAATTAAATCCAGATTTTATCAAACAAAATTATGAATTATATATAGAACTGTAAATGAGACGTGACATATCGCGAGCTCGACCCAAATTCTTAACAAACTGAAATAAACTACTTGATACTTGACCCGAAAAACTCATGAGCAGCTCAAAATATAATATATTAAGAATTTATTTAAAAAAAAATAAATTATTAATAACATTAACATTTATACTTTGATTTTTTTTTTAAATCTAGTATAAGATTTCTATGTATTTAAAGTTCAAGTTTGAGTTTCAATTGAGACTTCAATCGAATTAAGTTTAAGATTTTTTTTTTCATTTCGAGCTTCTAAGAGTTTCAATTCATGATTTCGAGTTTAAGTCAAGCTTAAAAATTTTAGACTCACGAGTTTTCAAGTCATGTCGAACTCTATTTTAGAGTTTTTGAGTCTAGTCGAACTCAACGACACTCAAGTTCGATTCGACTCATTTACAACCCTAATTATATATGTATCGAGTAAAATTGATTTGCGATTTTATCTCAAAAGACATGTTGGGTTTTGGGTCAGGTGAAGTCACCCTAAACCTAAATCAAGTTTATCATATCGGATTTCGACAGTAGTTTTATCATGTCGGATTTCAGGCGTAACTTTATAATTGGGTTAACCAGAAACCCAACCCATGACCATCCCTAACTAAGATCGGCGAACACAAAATGCATGAACCTACCTTCCTTCTGGACCTTATAATTCTCTGGGTGGTTGCGGGCAAGGGCGTCTTCAGATCTTTTACATGGCTTCTTGTAGCTCGGGATCGCAACGCCCCTATATCAGCAGCGTAGTATTGTTACCAAACACGTTTAATAAACCGAAAAGAGCAGAGTTATGAAGCTAAAATTACCTCTCCTTTCGACTCTCGATGATTGAACTTCAGTCTCCTCTTCTTGTTCAGTCACCTCACTCGAAGCTCCGGAAGGTTCGTCTGGCTCGACAAGTTCATGTCTCGGTTCGTCATTCGGAGTCTCGGTTTCCTCTTCCGTTGATGTATTGGCAACCTCGCCATCGCTAACACCTACAAAGTTATTGCGTGAGCAGCAAAAAATTAGAGACAGTCGCAGGCAAATGGTCTGAACTCATGAACCAACCTTCGGCAACTTCAGACTCTGCACTTTCTTCTCCATCATTTGCGTTCGTGACAAACGTTTCAACATTGGCGACCTTTTGTCGATGTAGTTCCGCCTTTTTGGCGGTGACCTCTTGCTCCTTCCTTTCGTTGTGGAACTTGTTGAGTTTCTCCTCGAACTCCTCGATGCATACTTTCAGTTCTGGTTTAGCAAACTTCTTACTCTGAAACCGATGCGAAGAGAAAATGAATCATTCAATCCGAGTTCACGATAGCAGCCGGGAAAGACTCCGAAAGAAAAGAGTACCTTGTTAATTACGTTCCTAAAATGATCAACCACAGAATCCTCAAATAGGGCATGTTCATAAGTCTTGAATGACTCTATGAGCCGTTTCACTCCCTTTTCGGTGAATGATAACTGAGAAAGACAGTAAGAAATATTCTCCCACTGCACAACATCTGCAACGAAGACGAACCATTTCGTAAGCAAAATCAAACTTCTACATTCATATGCATCCATAGTGTTATTGTTTATTTGCGATATGAAGCAAGGTAGCAACAAAGAGAAAAGCTGCAGCTTGTAAGAATCCTATAACGATAATTCAAACAGAAAATAACATTTGCTAAATGCTTCCAAGATCGTTTTTTAACCGAATATCAGGAACACCGAAACAATAACATTCCGAAGAGGGCATATAAGAAGGATATCATCTGCAATTAATAAATGCAAGGAGAATTTAAAGAATCAAAATTGCATGCCTGTGACTCCACTAAACCTATTGCAGAGCTTTTCGACAAGTGATTCCATTTGTTTGTCCTGAAAGTATTATGGATATCATGTTAACCAGATTATAAAGAACGGTAGTGTCATTTTTATCAAGAAAAATACTTACCTTCTTGATGGAACCGATTAAGAACTGCATTATGTTGTAGAAAGAGTCTTTCTGCAGATCTTGGGTGGATAACTTGCCGAGGATATCTGGGAGTAAATTATATATTGGATTGCTTCCTGCCAAAAAAATGGAAGTATAATTGTTATATACTTATTCGAGTCGAAGAAACATACGTCAGTCGTTTCGACAGTTGGAATATCACAATTCACCTTTCTTTGACAACTCATGGAAAAAGAGTTTAGCCAAACTAGAGATCCTCTCATCATTGTCTTCTACTCGTATAGCCATCTCGTTTACGTAACCTTTTACCTGATCCAAACATGCCAAGAATTAGAACCCTAAAGCTTTCTGATATATCTAAGGTTAAAAAGAGTATGCAGACGATAGTCAGCCTGTCAGACCTTCATCATGTCATTTAGTATGAGATGTGAAAGAACCAGAACAGCATTCTTCCGAACTGAAACCGAAGGATCCTTTAACCGAGCATACATGTTCTCTGTCCATGGTTCTAAGAGATTAGGAAAGCGAACTGCCAGATCTCCAAGAGCAATAGTGCAATTAGAACGAACAGTTTCTGATGGCGCGTTCTCCACGACAGTGAAGAGAAGTTGGAGATTTTCATCACTGGAAAAGGATTCAATAAAATAATCAGGCATGGAATCTCCTTTGGACTCATAATAGCAGATAACAATCTACAAGTTGAGAGATTTACCAAAATTTGGCATCTATAATCATGAATCGACATAACGCAAGCATTGCAGAGGCTTGTAGTAATGGATACTGAAACAAAATTGTCAAGTCAATTTATTGAACAAGGTTTTGCAACACCGAGAAAATAACTAGCATATATGCAATCTAGTAACGATTAAGAGAAGTATCTTCATTTTGTTTCCATGAGAAGTTAAAATGATTTCATTTTTATGAGTCAATTATTGTACAACTTATATTTTATATATTATACAAATAAATGAGATTATTCTCAAGAACTTAGCAAATGCGATGATGCGAGACATAAATTCAAATGGTAAGAAAATAGTCATAAATGGCAAATGTTACACACGGTACTCTTCATTGCGAAAGTAGATAATGGAGTCCAAAGTTAGGAAAATGAAAGAAATGAAATAGAGAAGGAAATTTGCAGCACGCACCTTCTGCATCAAAACAAAATTTCGGCACAGTTTACTGAGGAAAGGTGCACACTCTCCAATCAAATTCTTTTCACTGGAACTACCACAAACAATTTCTTTCTCTGCTCTCTCAGCAAGTGTGTCTAGTATTGCATCTTCAGAAGCAGCAAGACCTAGTTCAGCATTGATATTATTATCCTGGAAGACATCAGATTATAAATTCATAATAGGTTTTCTTAATCAAATTTTAAATTCATAATTGAGAATAAATTATGAGTTGAACTGTGTTCTTACCTTCTGTGTTTCAGCATTTTCTGTGCCTTCAGAATCAACCTTTTCTTTATTACCTTTCTGTTTCTGGATCTTTCGAACACAAGATTCAATGTATACCAGTTGGTTCATGGCAACATGACTTGTGACAAATAAATATCTGCTAAGCTTTGCTACTTGGACTGTGGGAAGTGCAGTGGAGTTACCACTGACAATGTCATTGTGTAATGCATCTCCTCTTCTACCACAAAAAACTGAACTAAGAGATTTTTTGACAAGATCGGCAACTAAGGTATCTGGAGTTGGATGGATGGTATATACTGCATCTATTGCTCTGTTTTGAAAATCGGACCGGACCGGCCGGTTCAACCGGAAACCGGTACTTAGTCCAGTTCAATCTAAACCGGTTAAACTGCTACTAGTGAACCAACCAGAACCGCTTAACCGTTCGAACCAGAACCGCTGAACCGTTCGAATTGGACCAGCTGAAAACCGAAAAAACCGGGAATTTTGTTTTTTTAAAAAAAAAAATTAAACCAAACAACGTCGTTTGTTAAACGAGCCAAGTCGAACCCGAGTATTGCTAAACTCGACTCGAACTTGAAAACTTTAAAAGTAAGCTCAACTCAACTCAAACTCACAAACTAAAAATTATCAAGTTCAACTCAAACTCGAAATATAATATTGAAACTTGAACTCAAAAAAATTTAGAAGCTCGATTGAAGCCTAAAATTCGAGTTTGATTGAAGTGAAAGAATAGTTCACTCAATGCTCACCAAAAGACTCTATGATTTTGAATGCCAAATTACCTCTATTATTTATAGAAATTAGTTGTAATGCTCTTCTATGTTTCTTAGCAATGTGAGGTTATTTTGTTCTCATATTTTTACTCTTTAGACTTTTGGGATACTCTTCTATGTTTCTTAGCCATGTGAAATTATTTTTTTTTAAATTAAACCAAACAATATCATTTTGTTATGATTTTTTTAACCTCAAATTTATTTTTTAATTATAGTTATATAATTATATTTATTATTTAATATGTTTTACCTTAAATATTATGTTATAGTAAATTTGAATCATTTTGTTTCACTTGATTTTATGGTTAACTTATATATGTTATGACTTACTTTGAATATGACTTGTGATATAAAAAAATATTTTTTATTAAATATTTTTTGTATTTTTATTTAATTTTTTAAATAATTATGACGTCGTCCGGTTCTTTCGACCGATCGGACCGGTTCGATCGGTTGAATCAGTGAACCGATAGCATGACCGGTTCGCTAACCGGTCCGGTTCTGAAAACCATGATCTATTGCTTTATCAGCCGCAGCATACCATATGTTATCTGGAAGCCCAAGGCCTGTAATCAAGCTTTCCAGAATACTGAATACTCGGCTGCCATTACTAAGTACCAACTTTTTCTTGTCCTCATTAGACAACCTCTGGATAGCAATGCATGCTGTCCTAGCTAACAAAGGTTCCACTTTGGCCCAACGACCAAACCCAATGTCAATAATGTCCTGTAAGTGGGAGCCAAGAATTGCACTGGATGATTTTGCTGCCATGCATAGGATAGCCAATGCCCCACGACATTGTTCGGCAGTGGTTCCATTAACATTAAAGCAAAAGAAATCCCATAGTGCGGATATCTGTGAGAAATGGGAGAATGAAGAAAAATAATCATTCATGTTATTAGAACAGACTTTAAGCCAAAACATAATTGCAGCCAAAACACTCAAAAGGGAGGACGTGCCACGACTCAAATCCCTCCCTCCAAGAGTAACCCCTAAGATACTTAACTGTAAAAAATAATTATAAACCCATTTGTGCAATCCAATTACATTTGTGGATCCACCGAATACAGCTATGTCTTAAAGTCTATCAGAAAATGATTCCAAGTTCCAAACACACTCGGATTCATTCATTATAACCATACAAACATCTTAATTGTCATCGCGTTTTAGGCTTTTAGCAATTATAATACTTGTGCATATTTTTTTTCATGACAACTAGCAACAAGAAAAGGAAATTCCTACGGAAGAAGGCTGGAATCTTCTAGGTTTCAATTGGTAACCGTGGAGTAATTTTAATGCAAAATCAACACAGATATTATGAAGACATGAAAGTGAACTTACCACTCCACTGGAAATATCGCCTTTAGACACCAAGGCGCCAACAATGAACTCGAGGGACGCTTGGTCCCCTACATTTGAATCTATGGCTAGATTCAAAAGATTTTTAGCAGTCTCTACTAGACTTTTCGTAATATAAATTGTTACGAAAGCATTCTCTACAGCTTCATATATGGATTTGTCTTGAGAAAATACCTGAAAAATCCAGTAATATATACTATTTGCGTCAAGCGTTAATAAAATAAAATTACAAGGTAATCAAACAAAAAGCAAAAAAAAAAAAAAAGAGGGAAAAGAAGGTGAAATAGAAGAAAACATTGACACGATGGCATGAGAACAAATAATAGCCTACCAGTGGCAACATCTTGCGTAGACAAGCTTCTGCACCATCAATTTGGAATTGTCTACATCTCATCAGCAACAGAATGGTGTTCTCGACATCTGTGGCAGAAGATGAAGCCATCAATTGAAGGAGTGTTGGCATTGTGGCAGATATACACTCGGAAAATTTCAAACCAGCCTCAAGGGAGGCAACCAAGGCCTTAGTTTGCTTCAAATTCCCAACATCTGGAACAGGACTATCCTTACTAGGAACCTCTTGTTCCGTATCAGCTAAACTATCAACTAAATTCTCAGGCTGGTAGTTGGTCACCTCTTCAGCATTTCCGTTATCAACTTCACCATTTGACAAGTCATTATCAGAGGGAACACCATCACTCATGCCTTCGGCCGTTTTAACTGGTTCAAGCTCATTCAGCTTCTTCTTGTATTGCTCCAGTGTTGCTTTAAATGAAGCTATTCGGAGTTGTGGACCAAAAGGATTATGCTGCAACATCATAATTAATAAATTCAATGCAGATTTTCTAACAAAGGCACTCTTATCTTCCAATCTCCCAGCCGCAACAGCAGCCACCTCATTCCATAAACCAATTGAAACAGAATGCTCCTCACATAGCTCAGCCCAAACTTGAAGAGCTCGACTCCTTGTATAAGCTGAAATGTCTCTACAACGCTCAAGCAAAATTTCCAACATGGCTTGCTTGGTCTGAAGACGAATGGATTTAGAACTCACTTCACCTTCAACATCCTTAAATGCTTTTGCAACTAATTTACCCAAAACAGCAACGAGGGCATTCCTTATCTTATAAGATTCTCCCCCAAAGTGTGGAATCAAAAGTCCAATGTTAGTCGACACTAACTTTGGTAGTCGATCTGCAAGCTCCACCAGGAAGCGCCCAATATTTTCAGCTCCAGCCGTATCCTTCACATAGGATTTGGGGTTAGTCCTCCCAACCTCTCTGATAAGGGAACATGCAAGTGTTCCATCAGCATATTTCTTCTCAGCAAAAGCAACTATATCAGCCATGTGGGTAACAACAAAGTCATGTTTGTGAATAAGGTGCATAATTGAAGCAGATGATTGCTCGGTGTAGTGGTACTTTGTAGCGCAAGACCCAATGATATGACACAGCATTTTTGGTTTCTGAATCCTTTAGAAGCGTGGCCTTCTCAAACATAGAAAACGCATTTCTGCAAATCCAAAATCAGAAGTAAAGTTCACTTTAACAGAAACGAAAGTTCATGATAACTAGTAGGATTAGTTGGACGAGGTCACTTACTTCACGACAAACGATAGATAATTTTCATCTGGGTCAGATGATCCAAAAAGCAAAGAGATGTTGATCTCTAGTGAGTTCGCAATCAGGTTAAGCATGCGGCCTCTTTGCCACTCCCAATTCCATGAGTTTACTGTCTGCTTCTTACGAGTACTTGCCGTCACCTGAATAATGACCAGCCACAAACCATCAAACGTAACACCAAAAACAGCATGCAGCAAAGGAGGAAGTATAGCAGGAGCCTATATAGATCCTACTCTTCTTTTTTCCTAAAGTATGTCCAGCTCCCATGTTCAACAGATATTCATGAATCATACGTGGTATATAGATATCACCCTTCAAATACATGAAACAACTTGTAAAATTTCGAATTTACCTCTGTCAAACACATTATCCATTCCGACACAAACACACAAGTCTATGTAAAATAGGCAGGGGGTATAGTACCTTCACGTTGTTGCTAGAACCAGTGTTTGACTCCTCGGTCAAAATAATATGGAAGAGAAAGAACGAGTAAATTTTAAACGCGTTTCGATATGAAGTGACACGATCAAGCATTGGGGTTTCATCATCATTCTGAGCTTGTGAAACTCGCACGAGGGAATCCACATTTGGGAGCAAAACACTGAAATTAGACCGAAGACTTTCCGCAAGAATAGACTTACAGGATGGTGTGAGGCTGGAAAATCCTCGGACAGATGAGTAAACACGATCAAACACATCTTGGTCTTCGATACAGTAGAGCTCTTTATCAGAGAGATCAAAGGATACCCCTTTATTGAAAGAGAAACAAAATTCAATTAAATTTCTATGAAATCATGTATAATTGATAAAACTAGCGTTATGAAAATGCTAGGAACATTAAACATAAAAATTCTACTATTTAATGCTAGGGAAAATGAGAAACTCAAATCATATTTTTCTAAATAATTTATGGAAACCAAACCAGCTTATTTCGTTCACTAATTTTCTCAACCGCGGGGAAAAATAATTTAAGAAAACAGTTAGGGCTTTTAAGGGTGAAAACTAAAATATACATAGAGAGAATTTAAACAAGTTCATCTTCATTTTCCAAAATTTCCTTTTAGCTGAAGCAGTCTAGACCAATTAAAATCCATCCATTTTAGCAAAATATAAACCGAACTTACACAAACTTTAAAAGACAAAAACAATCATAAATTAGATTACGAGTTCGAAAGTTTTAGAATAAGCGCAGATCTCATCTCAATTTTCCACAATTTTCTTAAAGCTGCTAAAACTAATCCAATTTAAACAAAAACTAAACCGAATTTACACAATTCTAAAACTAAAAAAAAGAATCATGAAATAGATAATAAGAAATTGGAACCTTTGACAAATCCTTCGAGTTCCGAAGCACGAAAGTTAGAGACGTCGATAGCGTTCTGAACAAAGAGACGGTTGTCCTGGTAATCTTCTTGTTCTTCGACCTTCTCTAGGGCTTGTAGATTTGGGGGGAAAAGGAAATGAGGAGCCATTTTTGTCTTAGCAGATCTTCAGAGAGAGAGAGAGAGAGAGCTTCTCTACTTGTTCGTCTCGTCTTTTGTTTGTTTTTTTCCTTTACTTTTGGATCTTCATTTTCCCTCTAATTATTCAAATCAAAACCCTGTTGGGTCTCCTTTCGGGTCGGGTCAATTAAATGGTAATCAGTAAAACGTGTCACTTGTTTATTGGCGGAATAGTACTTCACTCATCCATAACAAAGTTGGTGATATGTAAGAGAATTAAATAATTGATATAATTAACTTCAAAATAATTCAGATAATTAATTTTAGTTTATATTTAGGCTTAATACCAAAATAAGTGCCCAAATTATATATCGATTCTCAAATAGGTGCCTAAACTATTTTTTGATCCATCTAAGTGCCTAACGTTACAAACGTTACCCTTTTAAGTGTCTGGACCGTCAACGACGTTAATTTTCTCCGTTAAGTGACATGTGTTACAATTTGTTGATTTTGAATTTTATTTTTAAAATATTATTATATTTACAAAAAAACCTTAATTTCTCTTAAATTATAAAAAAAACTCCAAAATACCTAAAATTCTCAAATCATATCCTTAACCCGTCACCACCCTCTTTTCTAGCCACGATCATCGCCGCTGGCGTACTCCCTGCCATCCTCATAGTCATGAGCCTTTGTAGTTATCGTCAATTGGCCGTCAAGATCGCGTAGTATCACGATTTTCATCCTAGGGTTCGTGGGCTATAAAACGTCGATTCGCTGTTGATTGGTCACGATTACATGGGGGTTTTGATCGTCGGGGTAGAAGAGGTCGGGTGGAGCTTCGTCAACGGAAAAGGACGACGATCGATGTGGATTTAGGGGTTGAAATGAAGGTTTTCAAAGTTTTGGGGTTATTTCAAAATGTTTATGTTTTTCTTTAAAAATATATATATAATTTTATTTTTTTTAAATTTTAATAAAATTTTTAAAAGTACCAGATTGTGACACGTGTCACTTAACGGGAAAATTAACGTCGTTGACGGCCTGGATACTTAAATGGGTAATGTTTATAACGTTAGACATTTAACTGATCAAATTAATATATATGACATGTATAATAATAATAATAATAATAATAATAATAATAATAATAATAATAATTGACGTGTATTTGACACATTTTTTCGATTAAAGTACCATGTGCAACCTGGGTTTGAATCCAGACATTTGCGAATGGAGCAAATTAGATAAATTAGATTATGAGGATAGTCTTCATCTCTATAATATATGATCTTATATTAACCGATCAATAGATTAAATTCCAATGATTAATTAAAAGAAGGACCGTGTGTAGTAAAAGAACTTTTGACCTAACCATCTCGAAAATTCCAGAAAAAGAAAAACCGAGAACCTTACACATTTAATACAAGGCTGCAGCATTGGATATGGCTGCATGCAAGGCCAGAACAGAAAATTGGCTACAAACTAGACCCAAATATAGAACAGTAGTTTGATGCAAGGCTAGACATTTGCCGCTTCTTGTGCCATCATTCATACAATAAAGCATTAAACTCCATGCAACAACTAGTTTACACCCATGGCCATGATTTTAAGATAGGGACGAACTTATAAAATTTCAGAGATAAAAACATATTTTCAACATAAAATACACACACACAAAAAATTCAAAATATATGATAATTTAAAATTTTTAAGGGGTGACTGTCTCATGCGTCTCCTTCGATTCATTCTTGTTTATGGCTTATATGGCTGTCTTTGATGATTTTATCAGCTTCAACATTGCTAATGTGTGTGTGAGTCAAGATCCTGCTGATCAATGGAGGAATCAACAAGTAAAATCATTATCAAACAACATTTCTAATTAAAGATATGAATATATGTATAAACTTACTCGAGTGTTAGAAGTTGAAGGTTTGTTTTGATCTTCTTTGCACTCATTACGTTCATCAGTCATGGCATGCTGTCATGATCATCACATGAAAAAGAAATGTAACACTATGATGCACTAAATACAAACCCATGATATATCACACCATCCTCCTCAACCAACAAATACGATTACTACATTGTTCTTCTATATCCATTAACCCACTAAAGTAAGTAATCCTTTAATTAAAATCATTGTTTTTATTACATTTTTTTCATTCAAGAACAAAATTTCTAGTCATTCTATTGAATAAAGGATTTTTTCGTAACTTTTAATAGTCGAGGGATCGTTTTAAAACATAACGTTTATATTGAATAAAATTATGTAAATGGAAAAAAGTAAGGAAATTTGAGGAAGCATACCACCTTTCCTCTTGATAGTCGTTGTATGGTGCTGTTAAGGCTGCCTTCCCAACACTCTCTCCGGTTCTTTATTACTTTGTGCAACATTGGAGTTTCTGAGTGTCTTTCCGAGAACATCTTCATGGCTGGGAAATCATCTAGAACAAGAGTTTCTAAGGATGGGAATCCAAAGGTATAATACTCTAACGAGCAGAAGTTTTCGATTTGATCATCGTCGTCGTCGTCATCATACCCACCTTGCAATATTTCTTCAATATTTTCGCAATGCCGTATACTCATCTCTTGGAGCTGCACTAGACTTTTGGCCGTGGGACGTGTAATTAGTTTTACGATTCCATCACAATTCTCTACTTTCATTGTCACTAAAGTTCGGAAAGATACCGAGGATGGAACTAGATTAGATTTTAATTTGGTGCACCAGCGAACATGCAAGATCTTTAGATTTGGGAATCCTTCCTTTTCCTTCCATAAGTGCATCAGTTCACGAAGATGATCCAACCTTAATTCAGTTACCTGAGAGAGTAGCTGCGATGCAGGCATTTCCTCACCACCTTCCTCACCTTGGAACGTCGTCTCTTTAGATGAAGACCAGCTTATTTTAATTGTTTGAAGACCGGGTAAGGATAATAACCGGAGCAAATAAGATGGCAATGCGGTTACTTGCTCCGGACACCACTCAAGTTTCACAACTTTTAGGCTGGGGAAGTATTGAGATGCAAGTTGCTGTTGTTGTTGGCCTTGGCAATGCCATATGATGTCTTTGATTCCAGCATTCCATCCCAAAGTGAGTTGATGTAGATTTGGAAAGGTGGACTGCACAATTCCCAATTGCTTGTTAACAAAGCAAACAAATAATACCTCCACGTTTGTACAAATTATCACTTTGCTTCTATTCTCTTTATCACTTTGCAATGTTCAAATTTTTGGTCAAAATAGACATGTTGGATGAAAACCGTTAATTAACTAATGATCAATCCATGTTACTGACATGACATTCTCACATGTGTTCAAGTGATGACATGTCACCCAAAATGACGAGATGACATGTGCCACATGAGTAATTGGTCAATAACATGTCACCCAAAATAGAAGCTCGTATGTTGAAGTGTAGGCAGTTTTATGACTATGCCTCCAGTAAAAAACTGCAGAAACACAGGCCTCTTGCTCTTCAGTTTATTAATCCTTTAACATAGGCCTCTCCATGTACCAAAGTAGTCACTAATTGCTTGATTTTCTCTTCAAGATAGGCCTTCAGCTTATTGTTAGGTAGGATTAAAGATGCAATTCATATGGATTTATAAGCTTAGGCTGTCTACCTTTTCCACAAAGATGAAAATAATAGGGAAGCAATGAGTTCAAGAAAGCAAAGCATATCACACCAATCAAACAATCTCAATGATCGAAAGGAAGATTGTCATCCTTAAAAGTTCCAGATTTGAACACTAATGTCTACGGGATATTTGAACATTTATTGTCTAACAATCGAGAGACTTAATAGCATTAACAAATACTGATTATCCTTTAGATATCCAAATTTGAACACCAATGTCTACATGTGTTTGAGAATGTGTATGGAAGTATTTTTTGGTCGAAATTTCATTTGAAACGTAGAAGTATAATAACTCATTATCAGCTAAAAATTTATGTTTGAAAATTTACATTATTCCCCCCCCCCCCAAAACATGTGCACATATATGTTTTTATTTTAATTTGTTGAAACCGATTTTTAAGTTACCATAATTAGAATATATCATTATACATAATTAATATTAACTCGCGTTATTATTTTTTTTTGTCAACGATACCAACTTGCTTAATAACACTGAGTACCATCATCATTGCTTATTTGATGCTATGTGACATCATGTGATGTTATTATTATTTATTTTTAATTACAAGTGATTTACTGTTAGGTGACATTAGTAACTAGGGTAAATTATATATTTAGTACTTAAAGTAACAGTTTCCGTTTTATTACTTAAACTTCAATTTTTTTAAATCATACCGAACATTTAGTTTTTATTTTATTTCAATACATGACGTTAAAAAAATTAACGCGTCTAGTGCCTAAACTATAATTTTTGATCCATTTTATTACCTGAACTTAACTAGTTCTTCTATTCTTATGTATGCTTACGTTCATGAATTAGACAAAGTATAGTGGAATTGTATACCTTTTTTCTTAGTAGAGTTGTATACTTTATGGTGAATTGTATACCATTTTGTTCATCACATACAAGTAGGGTTGCACATAATTCGGATTTCAATCCGATCCGGATCGGTTTTTATCCGATCCGGTTTTTTCCCATAGAAAAAAAACCGGTTTATAAAATAACCGGTTCGGTTTCTAACCGGTTTGGAGGGCCGGATATCCTAACCGGTGTAACCGGTTTCGGTTTTAAAAAAACCGATTTTTTTAAAAAACCGGTTATAAAAAAACCGATTTTAATATTCCAGATTGCTCATAGGGAACCGATTCCCCCCAAGGGGGTACCGATTCCTCACTGAATGGTTTGGCTCCGAGATTTCCAGAATGCTCGGAGGGAACCGATTCCCCCATAGGGGTACCGATTCCCCCCCTATTCAACGGTCGAAATATTTGAATTTTACACTTAGGGAACCGATTCCCTATGAGAGGGTACCGATTCCCCCATGCTCTAAGCATTTTTATTAAATGTTTTCACACTTAAACGGCTATATTATCTTCATTAATTATCACT